AGGATAAATCTCCCTCTCGAATTCTTTTTCGAATTCACTCAGATCGAATTCCATATCTTCTTCAGATACATCCATTCTGACATGCTTGGGATCAATGTCTTCAGTAACATCGACCATGCCTACAAAAGCAGAATTCGTTACTCGGACATCTTCAGTCATGCCCGTTTGGGATTCAATATATCCCACTTGAACTTCGAATGGACTCATGTCCACTTTCATTGACATCTCTTCAAATTTCAGTCTTCCTTGGTCAATTGCATCTTGGATCGTGTTCCTGAAATGTATACAATTGTTAGTCCAATGTCCATAAACATTATGAAATTTGCAATATTTTTTACCATTCCTTTGTTCTGCAGAGGGCAGTTTATGGTCATCACTCAACTTAATTTGTTTGTCTTTTAATAAAATATCAAAGATTTTATCTGCCTTTGTCACATCGAAAGTATACGTTCGATTTGCCATTTTATCTTTTACTTCATTCTTTTGTAGCAATTTACAGATATATGGAGCCTCTACTTTGAGCTCTACTATATTTACTTTCTCGTCGACAGTTTCTTCAATATCATTTTCTGTCATGGGATCTGTCTCATATACATCATTTATATATGCTACTCTTTCTTTTTTCATGGGTTTCTCATATTTCTTATACCTTTGTTTTTCATACTCAATTTGTTCCACTCTTCTCACCTTATCAGCTAATTGAGCCATGTCATTCAATGGTAAATTGACTAACTTTTTCCTAATTGAGAATTCTAAGCCTGCAGAGGCCAATCTGACTAATTCATATTCAGGAATTTGAGTGAAACATCTCGACTTCATTAGTCTAAATCGATTCAAATAATCATCTATGCTTTCATGATTGTATCTTTTTATATTCATCAAATCGATGAGACTTACTTGAGTTTCTCCTCTAAAGAATTGCTCATGAAAATTTCTTTCCAGTTGCAGCCAATTATTTATCGAATTGGGTGGCAACGAAATAAACCAAGTAAAAGCATTCTTAGTCAAAGAACTAGGGAAATATTTCATCTTTAATTTCTCACTCATCGCTAGGTCCCCACATTCGATCTGATATCGAGCTACATGCTCGATAGTTAATTCACCAACTTCTCCAGCAAATTTGGTGAATTTAGGTACTTTGTATCCTCGAGGTAATTCCGTCTTGAGAATCACATTTGAGAAGGGAGACACAAAGTATGTTTGATCGGGTGGTCTAAATTCCCTCCCTTGGAAATTCATCCTCTGTCCTAACATGTCATTATACTGCATGTTATTCTGATTGTACATATTTTGAAATCCCTCATTCAGGTTCCCATAAATCTCATTCCTCACATGTTGATATTCATTTCCCATATGCTGATATTGATAATTGTTTCGATTTCTCCTCAATAGATACGGGGGATTGATATTAGCATTTTGGTCAATGTTCTGATTGGCATGATTCTTCACTCTTGTTTGTCGAGGTATAGCCAATGCATCCCCGATACGTGACATTTGGTCTGCTAACATCTCAAAACTAGCAGTAGTGTTTTGAACTAATGGATTGAGGACTGTAGTCAACTATTGTGATAACATATTCACCATCTCGAAATTGCTCTCATCCATTTGTTGTCTAAGTATTCCTAACGAGTTACTGGAGATCCCAGTACTAATGTTTTCAATAGTCTCAAAATTGGATCGATGATAATCTCTATCGAACGCATTTCTCCCATGATCCAGATTTATTCTGTGATCTAGATTTGAAGGTGTCTGTTGTGTACCTAAATTCTGCCCATTCCCTGAATTCTGGGGGGTTACTAAATTTTGAAACGCCCCTAAATTTGGAGAGACTCCAAAATTTTGCGGCATACCTAAGTTCTGAGGCATTCCTAGGTTAAATCTCGAATTTCGTTGTATCGAGGAGGTACCAGCCTCATTCATATTATTGGGTGAAAACCCAGGTGGTCTTACGCTAATATACGGCCCTGCATATGTTGTTATGGGGTTCCCCATCATAGTACTAGATCCTACTTGAGTGTTTGCTAATGTGCCTGAACTTTGTTCATTACTCACAGGTATCGACATACTCACAGTCGTCGATATTACAGGCATATTTCCATTATGACCTTGCCCCCCAGTGTTTGGTGTATGTGAACCATTTAGACCCTCACTGTTACTCTGGCTATTTGGTGGGTTTTGACTCATCCTTATAACTCGCCCACTCCTTAATCTCATACACTTTCGAACTAACCAATTTTGTGTTTTTCAACACAAGTTTCCCCTACCTGGTGCGCCAATTTGTTTCTGGTGGAATTTCGATTAATTTTGATTCTTAAGAGGTTTTGGTTCTAATCAAAACTCAACCACGTAGATTCTTTATACTTAGGCTAGCAACTGAATTTCAATCGAAATGCGTATGAGAATCGAAAATACCACTGTATCGAAAATACTAAGATTGACAATCGAAAGTACTATTTTTGGTATTTTGTTTTTGAAATACTCGAAGTAAGGAAAACAGCAAAATGACAAATCGAAAAGCAGGATAAAATATAAAGCTGCGAAGAAATATTAAATTTCAGAGAATGTAAAGTACGGAAACCTCAAAATTGCATTAAGTGTAAATGACATGAAATCGAAAGTACAGAAACTTAAATTGCACTAAGATAAATGACATGAAATCGAAAGTACAGAAACTTAATTTGCTAAAGATAAATGACATGAAATCGAAAGTACAGAAACTTAAATTGCACTAAGATAATTAACATGAAATCGAAAGTACAGAAACTTAATTTGCTGAACATAAATGACATGAAATCGAAAGTACAGAAACTTAAATTGCTAAAGATAAATGACATGAAATCGAAAGTACAAAAACTTAATTTGCTGAACATAAACTGCATCAAAGTAAATTACCAGGGAAAATAAAGAAAACAGTAAAGATACTCAATGAGCGTGGAAATCCAGATCGCCAGAAACTTCATGATGTTCGTCGTTCTCCGATAGACTTCTCACTAGTATTTCTGTTCTCTGCCAATTTTCCACCTCCCTTTTTCATTTCATCTTTTGCTCTATTTATAGGTCATCTTTCAAGTAGTCTCTTAGGAGCAGTTAACAAAAACTGCTACCACGTTCTCTGTGCACGTCTTTTTGCAGTTTTGCTCCTAGCTCTATGGTTTAGAAACTGCATCCACGTTCCCATGCATGAGGTCACTGTTCCCTTGACCTTCGACCTTTGCCAGTGCTTACTATGTTCGATGTATATGTCGACTGTTCTTTTTAGCCAAAATTCCGATATTCGCGTATGTTAGCCTTCCCTTCGATTTAGACTTCGAGACTTCAAAGGTTTTGGATTGCTTTTGATTCTCGGTATCCTTAACGTTACATGATTTTGATTTCTTGATTTTCTTCACCAACGGACGTTAAGCGTTATTCCCTCGATTCTCGATTTCAATACTCGATATGTTTTTATCTTTGTGGTCACCAGGTGTCTTGTCAATTTTATCGATTTTTCAATCAATTGTATAGTTCTCGATTTTTGCTTCCCTTCACTTTTTCAATCTTTTTATTGATCTCTTACTAACACATTTACATCAATCACACTTTTTCAGTTAATTTAATAATTTTGTTATACTTCAATAATATGGAAATGAATTACAAAATATAAGTTTCTTCTGTATATGTTATTGTATAGAGCTGTAAACACAAATTATACAATAATGTTTATTACTAAGACAAATTAACTAATGATAATTTAATTGAATAAGTAACTTATCAAAATTTAGATTGTTAAAAAACATATAATAATAATTTTTTCTTTCTTGTCATGGTTCAATACAAAGAAAGAAAATATAAATAAATATAAAATGAAAAATATAATTATTCGTTGGAAAAAAAAGCATATGAAAATAGTTTTTAAAACAAATAACATAATATTTTTTTAAAATTTACAATTTATATATTTAAATATGAGTAAAAATAAATATATATACATGAAGAAAATTGACACATTTCTTATTACTTTCCTTATTATTGAAATAAAAAATACTTATTTTTAACCTTTTTTTTTCATTAATCACTTTCTATTTTCCATTTTTTTCTACTATCAACATAAGATTTAAAAAAAAATTGTTAAAACGGGAATAATGATCATATAAAACGTCAATGTTTTCATGAAAAAAAAATCATTAAATGTAAAATAATTATGAATCTATATTGACTCATGACAAATCCACGTAAGATTTAAAAAAAATTTCCTAATTGTAAACGAAACAGAAAATTTTATTATTGTATTAACAATTCAAAAGAATATGTAAATATATATATATATACACGAAGGAGAAAAAAAAATTATAGTTGTAAGCTTATACATCAAAATAAATGTGAATGTCTTTATTTCAATTTAACAAGTTCATAATCTATTTGCTTATACATAAAAATAAGCTATTTTTAAATAAATAATGATAAAAAATTTCTTATTTGAATTTTTTTAAAGCATATATGATTTACTTCTTAAAATTCAGTACAACTTGCTTATTTTAAAATAACATAAAAGAACACATTTTTTATATTATTATAAGAATTAAAAAAAGTACAAACAAATTAACGTATAACCTTTATCTGAAAAATGTAAATTAATTAAAATAAATTGTCAAACATAGTTACAAATATTGACAATTGTATTTAATTATTTGTCTGTTTTTTATTAAAAAAAAGTTACTGCAATTTATTCTTTAAATAAAAATGTTATTAATTTTTTATTTTAATATTAATAAGCATAATTTTTTATCACGGTCCAACTAACTTAGTTCGGATTAAGCTCACACAATTTAAAATAAAAAATAAAAAAAATTCTGAACATGTAAGAAAATAACATTAGAAAATTTATATTAATTAATTAGTTAATTATGTAAAAGTAAAGAGGCAAGAAGAGGTGGAAAGGAAAGGGGGAAAACCTCTCCTCCTGTCTTTTGTCTCTTTGCAGAAGCTCAAAGCATTACACTGCTTCTTCTTCGGCAGCATCGATGGCCGCAGAATCATCTCGCAGTAGCGCCAAACGCCCCTTTGTGGAAGAAGATGAAGAATTCAACAAAAAGCCACCGTAATTTATTTCATCTTATTCTCGCTCCCAAACCCTAATTCCATTCATTGTTATTGAGATAATTGCTGTAATCGGTAGAATTGGTTATCGGGGTTAGGTTATCATACATTGATTATGTGTTATTTTGATTCGGGGATTATTATCATGCGCGTCACCTCCAACGCCTGTCAAGTTCAAATATCCGGCATTCTTCGAGGAGAGTTTTCATTTAATCCACTATGCTTGCATATGAATACAGTGTATTAAGTTTGTGTTTTCTGTGAATTCACCCCACTCGTGGTATTATGTTGTGCGTGTATGTGAGCTCCTTTTTTCGTATTTTAGCTTTTGAGATTGTTATGATTAGTTGGTGGAACTAATTTGATATTTTTGCATTGAATTTATAAATTTATATAGAGCAAAAAGGGTTAGGTTTCCAAAGGGTAGGAAAGTGAAGCCAGGAGATGAAGTTGTCGAGAAAGGAAATGTCGAGGAGGGTGATGTTGACTTACTGAATCCCCAGGCTGCTGCCAAAGCCGCTGCCAAAGCTGCCAAAGAGCGGGCAAAACAAAGAAATCAAATTACTGCCGAACTATTTAGTGAGGGTACCGGGGGTATCGTAAACGACTTCTCGGTTGCTGAAGTGACATATGAGGTTTCTTTTAATATTTTTCCTTAACTTTTCGACCTGGATGAACTTTTTATGTAAATTAATGTTTACTATTTCTACAAGTGCTTTTCCATGATCTAGGACCGTAAATAGTATGCGTGTAAAGTTTGTTTCATATAGGCTGTTGTTCGAATGTATTATAGTAGTGTGATTCATTCCTAAATTGGCTGCAATTTTTACAGTAAAGTTATTGTGCATTGATCTGTTATTGGGTCCACGTAAAGATAGGCAAGCAATGATCGGTGATATCTTGTGGCAGGATAACGAAAATTTTGTTGATGATGGGATTCAAATTGAGCCTTTCAACCTAGATAAAGAAAGGGAAGAAGGTTATTTTGATGCAGCAGGAAATTTTGTGGAATATGTGAGAGAGAATGAAATTAAGGTGAGGGATTTATTTTGTTTTATTTGTGATTATTTTGATTGAATTCTGTTAATGAATTAGGGAGCCTTGCAGGATGCGTGGCTTGATAATATTGAAGTTGATCCAAAATATGCTGCATTGAAATCTGTACCAACAAATGATGAAGATGACGAGACCCCTGACCTTTCTTCTAAAGATATTGGAATCATGAAGAGACGCATTGCAGATGTTCTTGAACCTGGGGAAACGGTGAGCGTATTTTTTATCATTCTTAATTTACTGATTTTTAAGCTTTTGTCCTACTGAAGCATCATTGTAAAATAAGTTAGTTATTTGCCAACTCACTCCAGAATATTAGTAGATCATCCATTTATTTAGGCAAACATTGATTTTCTTTATGGCCAAGGAGTTGTGAAATTTCTTGTTGAGGATGTTCATATCCTTAAAATATATTGCTGTTAAATGATATTACTCTCAAATCTCAATGTGAAAATAAAGAATATGTAATTTAAAAATTTTCTTTTTGAAGTTGCAACAAATAAATACAGAAAATGAGACAACTGGAATCTGCCGCTAACTCCTTAGTTACTTATGCAATTTTACTTTTAACTTGGAACGATTCTGGTTTACCTCTTTCTTTCATTGTTAGCAGAGAAAACCTGCTAATTGCCAATATAAAGGGTTACTGGTGTTCTTAAAGATAAAAGTACAATCCACATTTATTTAAAGTTATATTTGGCTTATATAAAGGGTTACTGCAATTATTAATTTTTTATCATGTTAAATTACTTGTTCTCTTTATATCTTTGTAACTCTAAATCTTTATACTTGAGTAGGATGGAATTTATATATAATGTATCTACTTTGTTAAGGGCTGTATTAACAGATAATTCTTCCAATAGGTCTTGCAAGCCTTGAGAAGGTTAAAAGGTAACAATGACAGAAAGGCAAAAATGTCTGCTGAGACTAAGATTGTATTTGACCAGCTAACTGAGGATTCTATGAAGCTGATGGAGAATGGCGAATACAGTTAAGTTATCCTCACTGGGCTTTGTAAATATTAGCCATTGTGTAAACATGTAATCCTTTAGATAGCCAGATGAGTCTCTAAGTCTTGCAACTTATTTTGCTTCGTTGGTTTTTTAGTTGCATATTTGTACATGATGCTTAATTTTGGTTCCTTTACTTTTTTCTTTTCCCCAGATGTTTATCACGAAAAGCGAGAGGTTTTTGATCGTGAAGCAGGTCAGTGTTATACACAATGCTTTATTCTATTTATATTATGTTTTATTGTTTTTTTCACACCCTTGGTTCATGGTTTGTCATTACATTACATTAACAATTGAAATAGCTTGATTTTCTAACTTAATTGCTATAATTATTTGGTTTTTACTCATATAGTTCTGCTCAACCTATGTTTTTATTATGGTCATGATACAGGATAAAACTCCCGGTTCTATTATCAATATCACAGTGTTTATCATTCTTAGGGTTTGGGACAACTATTTTTGGGACTCCATATTAAGCTTGGATTTTGGGGCAGTATATGCAATCTCTATTTTTTAATTGGCTCGTTATTGTTCTTTCTATGATGATGTGGATATGTAGGTTTATGAAAAGGAATGAAGGGTACCTGTTTCCTGGTATTAATTGCTTAATACTTATGCCTTCTATAATCTCCCTTTTTCAGAAGGATATGAGAAACTAGCCCAGGCAAAAGAAGGCACATCAAATCAACATTTGACTAGTGGGGAAGCTTCTAATGATGGAGATGATTATGATATGTTTGCCGATGATGATGAACATAATACCAGTAAGCCATCTACAGATCAAAGTAATGCAGTTAGTCAATCTTCATCAGATGCCATAAATTCTTGTACTGAGGGTAAAGACATTGCATTGGATTTGGCCTCTGAAATTTTCGTAACTGATTTTTATCTGAGAAGTATTTATTTAACATGATCGTACTTTTCTTTCAGGCGGAGCAATGCAAAATGATTATGTATATGATGAATCTTCTGGGTATGGCTGTTGTTCTCTTCCATCTTTTCGGAAATGATATGATATATATGACATTATTTATCTTTGTTGTAATATAAAGATAAAATATAATCATTAAGTATGGTAAAGGTGACAAAAGTTGATGTTTGTACCCATTTCTTCTTTCTTTTAGTGAATTCTTTTATCAAAAAGTTCTATTATAAACTTGATCTGATATCATTTTATTTGATGGTCCAGGTACTATTACAGCAGCAGTTTGGGCTATTATTATGATCCAAATACAGGGCTTTATTGTTCTGCAGCATCAGGGCAATGGTATAGCATTTTTCTTTATCATCTTAGCATGTGTGGTTTGTCAATTTTTATTCTGGTATATTTTTAGCCTTTGTTTATCAGCGAGGGCTCCCAAACATGGATATGCATTTGGATGTGTCTTCTTTCTTGTTTGTTTAAATTTTATTATTGATTTATAGATATTTTTTGTTGGACTCTATCAAAAACGTGCATGGTGATTGGTACATTTCTATAGTTAACACCTTGTTTGGTTGAGAGGATGGGGGAGGATGGAAATAACAATGTATGTTTTGGTGGAAGAGGAAAAGAGAGGAAATATCTTTTAAAAACGGAGGTACTTGATATACTATTTCTTAGCTATTTCTACTTATCTTTCTATCTTTGTTCTCTGGACGGATTTAGAAATGGTTTAAAAACGGAAAAAAGAAGAAGTAAACTTCGATAATAAATATTAAATAAAATATATAAAAAAAATTCTTTTTTTCTTTTTTTACTATTTCTAATATAAATTTTTTATAATATATAAATAAAATAATATATATATATATATATATATATATAATTTGAAAGAGGAAGGGCCGTGACCTATGCTCATCCCCCTTTGTATCCGATCCTGTTCTCATCTCTAACCTTTTTTTTTTTTTTAATAAAACATCTTTAACCTTTTGTATTTTTCATGTATTTTTACTCTGCTAGCTTATTTCCATCTAACCAATTTCTCTCTTCTATATTAAATAAAGCATAAAGTAAAGGAATAACCTAAGAAGAGAATGAGGTGGTGAGTTTAATTGTATCTATAATTTAGGTTTCTTACAAATTGGGTGGATGCCATGGTGGATGGACCTTGCAATGGTAGCCATATATTGTTCACACAATTTGATGTTTGTCTTTCGGCAAATCATGTTTCTAGCTCACGGAGAATGTTTCTTTTTTGTTTTAATACAGGTACTCATTTAACGAGGAGACTAGCACATATGAAGAAGTTGACGAGGTTGCATCTAATGTGAATTGAGGGACAACAGGCTATTTATAGCATAGCCACAATCATTGTCTATCAGTGGCTCATGTACAGACCAAAGTGCTCTTGATCTTTTTGTTCGTTACGAGGGACTGCTACCACTGCCAACAGTTGTGCTTTTATCTCTTATAAGGTTGTTGTTCTATAGTAGCTAAACTTTTCGTGTAAAAATCACTTAGAATATCCCATTAAAGTTAGAAGCAATACAAATTATACAATGTTCACTCTTACCAATTTGTGAGATTTGCAATTATGCCCACAAACTGCAAATCACTTCGCTTGGGCAAATAGTTAAATATTTTTGGCGTCTTAATTTTTTTGGTGTAGTGGCGTCATATTAGCACCTTGGCAATGCGTTGCTATGAGTACTAGGCCATTCTTTATTCGTGAAAGATATTTTTACAGTAGAGGATTATATTCTGCAATGTTATGTTGCGTTTTTCTTATTCTGTTAATCGTATTTCTCTTATGCAGCTTTTAATTGTAATTAAAAATGTAGAATCCAGGCATGTGACATCAAATCTGTTATTAAATATTATGTTCACCCTCAACTCAAGTTTCTTTAATGTGCAACAACCATATGAAGTCCTGCTATTCGTATCAGCATCTACAAACAATTTCAAACCTTTTTCATTCTGCTTCGTTTGTTGTTTTTATCTATTAAAAGTTTATTCACTTTAACGAACCCTGATTTCTCAATTGATTAAAGCGTAAATCTCAAAATTATGCGTGTCATCTGTTGGCTTGCTTTGGCATGCAACGGAAGTTTAAATTTACGTATATTGGTTTATATATATATATATATATATATATATATATATATATATATATATATATATATATATATTCTTTTTGTAATATTTTTTTAATTATTTTTCAGAAAAAGAAAATAAAAATATTATAATTTAAAAAAGAAAAAATGGATATATTTAAAAAGTGAAGAAAGAAAATAAAATAACAAAGGTTAAAAAATTAAAATAATTTTTTTAAAATTAATTATATACAAAATATAGACAGACGCTTTAGCTCTTTCCATTAGTTATTATATAAACCACGCATATTGTATTGAAACACTGTTGCATCCCTAAAAAATCACTGTTGTAGTTCTAAACCTTTTCGATTTCACACTTCAAAGGCCTATTCTTTGTATCTCATTCGTGCAATATGCATACTTACACGTATTTGCAACATGAATTAGTGGTAGTAAACAGTAAAAAATTTATGACCTAGTTGGATTTTCTTTAGGACTTATCACTTCACTTATTTATTTATATTAAAAATAAAAATAAAATTATCAACAGGAAGATTCTTGAAGATGGTTTGAATTTATCATTACAAATAAACAGAATAATGTCAAAACAGGAACTTTCTCTGAATCAAGCATTTAAGGGTGATGATGGACAGTGTTTGGCCATATAGCTTAGACATTGAGACGATGAATTGAATAAAAATGGAGCTCAACGAAGCTGTGTTTTTGCCCATATACCTCTTCATAATTAAAATATTATTCATGATTCCCCTATTGTATCTCATAATTAAAATATAAACGTAATTCCCAATCTATCAATTATTACTACCATCCACCAACCAACTACACTCACCCTACCGAAACTATTTCACAACAATGATTGAATATTCTAAACTATTATTACATGCAACTTATTATAACTCAACTCTAATGCTATATTGAATTAAAATTAGTATATGTAAGATAATTTCTTTATTTTTTTATGACAATTATTCAAAAATCCATCTATCTACTTATTTATTTATTTTATTTCTAAACCACAAAATAACTTTTTATTTTCGTTTTTTTACAATATATATCTTCAATAATGTGATTAGATAATTAGAATTTTCTCGATCTTACGAAGCCCCTACACAATTAGTTTCCTTGCTTCGGTCGCATTCTTTGTAACGCTTTAAGACGGCCAAATCCGAAAAAACTGCTTCTTCTTGATGTGAATATTACAGCTTATAATAAGAAAATTTTCAACCTTTTTTTTATTACACTAATAAATTAAGACATCAAATGAAATATAATGATAGGATAAAATTAATAAATAAATAAATTTATTTATTTATTTATTTATTTAAAATGGTAGCTCATTCTTTGAATTAAAAAAATAAATAAATGGTAAGATAATAATAATTTTTATTACAGTATTATTTTGTTTTTTATTTTTATTTTTAATTTAAAAAATATAAACAATTGAAAGGTGATTTCAGAAATCCAAACAGGCCCTGCGCCCCATAGAAATGCTGACAGATGCAGTTTTGCATTGGTACGAGACTCTCACTCTCATTCACTCACGCGTGATCAGCACCACCTTGTGTAGTTGTAGAAAAGAATGGAATACAGGCTCCACTCGTTCATACCTTTATGCTATGTTCAATCCATGCCAAAACCCTCTTCCTGAGATTCACTCATTTCTCTATGTGAAACCCTAACCTCCATTTTCCGTCTCACGCTAACCACATGGCCGACGAGATCAATGGCGGAACATCCATGGACTCCACCGAATCGCGCTGGGTTTTCCATGACGACGACGACAATGACGACTCGGATTTGGAGAACTTCGATGCGGATTTGAGATGTGGACGCCACGCGGCCATCGTCGATTCCGAGGAGGAAGAGGACAACGCGGAGCAAAGACTCATCCGCACTGGTCCTCGCATCGATTCCTTCGACGTGGAGGCTCTTGAAATTCCCGGTGCTCACAGAAGTGACTATGAGGTCTCTCTTTCTTTTCTCTGTTTTTTTATTGTTATCTTTTAATAATTCAGAGGAAGTTCAGATTCTAAGTGCAGGATTCTGTCGCTTGAAGTGACCATGTCAGGTTATTTCTTAATTGTGTAGTTTGACATTTTTTTTGTCTATAAGTTCAAATTTCTAATTGAAAAATATTTAAATTGACCTTTGAGTTTCTGTCTACCTGGTATGTGTGGGACCTTCTGAATTGTGATTGTTAATTTAGAAATATGACCTGCTCCACAAATGGAAAATAAGAGGAAGGAAATTGGGTATGGAACACATGATTCTAGCTGCCGACTACATTCACGGACAAGAAAGAGTGAAAGTTTAAGGGGGATGATGAAAATTAAACCACGTAGCTCCTGGAATCCCGATACAACCAAATGCTTGTGTGCATTGCAGCCTGAATGATGATCTTACAATATATAGCATTTAGTGTCGAGGAGATGTTTATATTTGTTTTTCTTCTTTTTCTTCTTCTTTAATAGATATGGTTGTTGTTTCTCTTGTTGGGTTTCTGGATTCTGTGAATTTTAGTCCTTTATAGCTTTGAGTATTGTTCCTTTTGTTGAGTGTCTGGATTCTCGGAATTTTATTCTGTAATTGATGTATTCTACTTGTACACTTGCTTGTGGTTCTTTCCCTTAAAATGTCTTAATACTCACCATGAGATAATATATATTAATAATGTGTGCTTGCTGTCTTTGTTATATTTAATTGCAGGACATCAGTGTGGGTAAGAAAATTGTATTGGCTTTTCAGACACTTGGTGTTGTCTTTGGTGATGTTGGAACAAGTCCTTTGTATACCTTCAGTGTTATGTTTAGAAAAGCCCCTATTAATGGAAATGAAGACATTATTGGAGCTTTATCGCTCGTCTTGTACACCTTAATCTTGATTCCTTTATTGAAGTATGTCCTGGTGGTTCTGTGGGCCAATGATGATGGTGAAGGTATATTAAATTAAATGTTCTAAAATAAAGCTTCTGGCACTTACGTTCTCAAAATCATACTTGTTCTGAAACCACTGCAGGTGGTACTTTTGCCTTGTACTCCTTGATCTGTCGTCATGCCAATGTGAGTCGACTCCCCAATCAGTTACCATCAGATGCACGAATATCAAGCTTTAGACTGAAGGTGCCATCCCCTGAGCTTGAAAGGTCATTAAAAATCAAGGAAAGACTTGAGAATTCTCTGACTCTGAAGAAGACTCTACTAATATTAGTTCTTGCTGGTACTTCTATGGTGATTGCTAATGGTGTTGTTACACCGGCAATGTCAGGTTATTTACTGCTGTTACTTCATGTACACCTGTAATTTCTTCAGACTTGCTCCGGTCACAATGTTTTCAGGATGATGTCAATTCCATACATCTATTGATGTTGCTTGTATTCATGACCGAGTATTGTCTTCGTTAACTCTTTCTACTCTTTAGTTTACAATAATTATCTTTCTATCTTTGCTTTGCTGCAGTACTGTCATCTGTTGGCGGTTTAAAAGTTGGGGTAGATGCAATCAAGAAAGGTATTATGTAACCTATTAATGAACACTGTTATTTGCAATAGTTATTAACTACTAGATTGAGTGTTGATATCCACAGACATACCCACAGAATTTCAGTCCAGACCTTTTATCTTTTCTTTTTTCTTTGGCTAATCATGTAAACTTAAGATAATATCACTAGTGCTGTCTATTGACTTGGTTTGAGAGAAAAACATTTTTTTGAAATACGTAGTCTTGTCTGAGATGTATCATGAATCACTAATACTATGAGATGTGTCGGGTGGTGGGTATAGTTAAGAGAGTAAAGAGAGTGAAAAGAAGATTTCTAATTTAGTGGGATGTGTTACTCCACTCTATGATCTCATATATATATAGGATTACAACATTTAAAACAACAACTACCAACTACTAACAACCACCAACCACCAACTACTAACTACTAACCACTAACCACTAACCACTAACTAATAATAATTCTAACATTCCCCCTCAAACTTGGAACAAATAAATTAAATTCGAGATCCTCTTAAAGACTTTGTCAACACATCTGCAAGTTGATCATTGGACCCGACAAATTCAGTGCAAATTTCTTTAGACAACAATTTTTCACGAATAAAATGACAATCAAGTTCTATATGTTTGGTCCTTTCATGGAACACCAGATTAGAGGTAATGTGGAGAGTTGCTTGATTGTCACAATACATCTTCATCTGTTGGATCTCACAAATGTAGTAGAGCGTCTGTCCATAGGGGATCCAGCCCAATCAACATCACAATATCCAGATATTTGGGTACCCTCTTTATCTTCATACAACAGACCTTGTCCTGGAGCTTTTTTGAGATATTTTAGGATGTGAAAGACAGCATTCCAATGATTAGTACACGGATTTTGCATAAATTGACTCACAACTCCAACGGCAAAAGATAGGTCAGGTCTGGTAATGGTGAGATAAATGAGTTTCCCAACAAGTCTTCTATATCTCTTAGGATCAGAGAGCAGTTCACCCTGATCCGCCATTAATTTCTGATTTGGATCCATAGGGCTGTTTACAGGTCTACAATCAATTATGTCTATTTCTTTTAGGATATCTAAAGCATACTTTCTTTGGGAGACTACGATGCCTTCTTTTGATTGAGCCACTTCAATCCCTAGAAAGTATTTGAGACAACCAAGATCCTTAGTTTGGAAGTGATTGCATAAATGTTTCTTTAGCAGAGAAATTTTATCAACATCATCCCCTGTAATGACTATATCATCTACATATACAATGAAATAAACACATTTTCCTGAAGCAATATAATAAAAAACAGAATGATCTATTTCACTTCGTTTTAATCCAAATCTTTGAACAATGTGACTAAACTTTCCAAACCAAGCATGTGGAGATTGTTTGAGACCATAGAGAGAACAATGTAACTTACAAACCAAACTAGACTCCCCCTGAGCAACAAAACCAGGAGGTTGCTTCATATAAATTTCCTCCTCAAGATCACCATGCAAGAACGCATTCTTGATATCTAATTGATGAAGAGGCCAATGACGGATAGCTGCCATTACAAAGAAAAGTCGAACAGTAGTCATTTTGGCCACAGGAGAAAAAGTATCACTGTAGTCAAGGCCATAGATCTGAGTGTAACCTTTTGCTACTAATCTAGCTTTGAGTCGATCAACTTCACCTTTTGGTCCAACTTTAATGGCATAGACCCAACGACAACCAACAGTCTTCTTCCCATGTGGAAGAGGAATTAAGTTTCATGTATCATTGTGCTCAAGAGCCTGCATTTCATCAATCATGGCTTGTCGCCATCCAGGATGATCAAGTGCCTCTTTCACATTTTTTGGAATAGTAATGTGGATACAGAAGAAACAAAAGAAAAATAGGAAGGAGACAATCTATGGTAGTTAAGAAAATTGTAAATGGGATGTGGATTACGAGTAGAGCGAGTACCTTTGCGAATGGCAATGGGCCAACTTGAGTCATCATTATCAGGAATCGTGGTATCAGGAGATGATTGAGAAGGATCTGCTGAGGAAGACTCATCTTGGGACGTGGGGCTGATCATTTGGCTCCTGTGTTGATAGGTAATAAGAGGCAGTAATGAGGATTCCGGTGTATTTTGTGTGGAATTTTGGGTGTCAGGAGGAGGAGGTACAAATGGCTCCACTAAGGGTATAGGTAGGACATTTTAGACCGAACTAATATCCTGCATAGAAGGGAAGAAAGGAGTTGACTCAAAAAAAGTGACATTAGCAGACATATAGTACCTCTTGGTTTCAGGAGAATAACATCGATATCCTTTTTGAAGACGAGAATATCCCAAGAAGACACATTTGATGGCTCTAGCTGATAGTTTATCTAAATCTGGAGACATATCATGAACAAAACATACGCAATCAAATACACAAGGAGAAACATGAAAGAGTGGGGCCTTTGGCAATAGAAGAGAGTGTGAAACTTTATTGTTAAGAGAAGAAGATGACATTCTATTAATGAGAAAACACAGTAAGAATAGCATCTCCCCAATAATGAACGGGCATATTTTCACCAAGTAATAAGGTACAAGCAGTTTCAATCAAATGTCTATTTTTTTGTTCTGTTATACCATTTTGTTGTGGTGTGTGAGGACAAGTAGACTGGTGTAAAATGCCTTGGGAGCTTAAGAGAGTGGAGAAATCAGTAGAAAAGTATTCCTTGGCATTATCATTTCGTAAAACTTTGATTACTTTTCCAAATTGATTTTTGATTTCGTTAAGGAAAGACTTTAAGATAGGTAATAATTCAGAACGGTCTTTCATTAGATAAATCCAAGTACACCTAGAAAACTCATCAATGAAGGTAACAAAATATCTATAGCCAAAGGATGAGACACGACTAGGACCCCAAATATCAGAATGAACAAGAGAAAAGACAGAGTCACATCTAGATTCAGAACGTTTAGGAAAAGAGGACCTAGTATGTTTCCCTAGTTGACATGATTCACATTCTAAATCTTGAAGAGTCTGAAGTTCAGGAACCATTTTTTTTAATCTTGATAAGTGAGGGTGTCCTAAACGTTCGTGTAATAGTTTTGGAGACAAGGATGCAGCACAAGATATAGATGATTTAGTCCCAAGGTAGTATAAGCCTCCAGATTCATGTCCTTCGCCAATCTGTCGACCCGTACCACGTTCTTGTATAACAAAAGAGTTGGCATTAAAGGTTACTGAACAATTCAATAATTTGGTTAATTGACTTAGGGAAATGAGACTGAAGGGACATAAAGGAATAAAAAGAACATATTTTAAGTTTAAAGACAGAGAAATGGAGACTTGACTAGTTCCTTTAGAGGCTACTTTAGATCCGTTGGCTAAGGTTATGAGATGAGGAGTTTTAGGAAATGAGAGAGAAGAGAACAAAGAGGCATTACCAGACATGTGATCAGAAGCACCTGAGTCAATAATCTATGGACTTTTGACTTTCCACAGATTGTGAAATGCAAGCTGTTGATGAATTTGGGGTTATTGATGACTGTGCTAGATTACTGGATTTCAACCTCAAATATTCCTGATATTCTTCGTTAGAGAACTTGGGTTCAATCATTTCAGATTTGGAAAAATTGACAACCGTGCAAAGAGTAGCAATTTTCCATTGTATGACCCATTCTCTTGCAATGAGTGCACTGAGGACGTCCTCTATCTCCACGTCCTCCTCTAGTGTCGCGACTTCCTCTTCCACGAGTAGAAATCATAGCAGAAGATTCAACAAGTTCTTGATTATTTTTTCCTTTGAGAGTTGGAACACGAAGCAGTCTTGTAGTCAAACTTTCCATAGAAGGAACTTCTTGTCCAGTTAAAATTTGATCTCTAACATGATCAAATTCTGAATTCATAGCCCGGAGAGTCATAACCATATAGAATTTATCCAACTTTTGCTTTATCTCCTCTAACGAATCCACCTCTAGGAACATCTTGAATTCTTCAACTGCTGATTGAGCTTCAACAATAAAGGTCATCATATCTTTATCCACTTGCTTAAGAGAGGCTAATCAATTAGCGGAAGCATAGAGGCGTTAGATATCATTTGCGAAGATATTCTGAGTTTTTTTCTAGAAAGAGTTACATGTTTTGAAGGATTTGAGAGTGTTCAAAATATTTGGTTCTACTGATTGCCACAGTAGATCACAGAGTTGATAATCAAGTTTTTTCCATTGTTGAGCCTGATCTTCTGGTATCTTACTTTCGTCTTCTTCTAGATGATCGTGAAACCCTTGTCCAAGGAACCAAAGTTCTACTGAAGAGGACCAAGACATGTAATTTTTTCCATTTAATTTCTCAGCCGTTATCGTGAGAGTTCCGGAAAAGGAGGTTGTGGGCCCTGACGACATGTTTTAAATAATGTAGATGTAAGATGGAGACAATGGAACCTGTAAGAAAGAAAACACCCAAGATAGCCGGAAGGTTATTGGAAGGTGGTCGGAAAGTCGTCGAACGGCAGCAAAAAAAGGTGATTGGACGGGGGACTGACGGTTGCCGAAAAGTGACCGGAAAGTGGCCAGACGATGACCGGAAAATGGTCGGCCGGTGACCGGAAATGGCCGGACGGTGGCCGGACAGGCAGAGCAGGACCAACCTGTTCTAATACCAAGTTAAGAGAGTAAAGAGAGTGAAAAGAAGATTTCTAATTTAGTGGGATGCGCTACTCCACTCTATGATCTCATATATATATATATATATATATATATATATATATATATATATATATAGGATTACAACATTTAAAACAACAACTACTAACCACTAACTAATAATAATTCTAACAGGTATAATATTAAGCTAATTTATGTCCTTATGTTGTAGTCATTTGTATGGTTGCTTGAATCTTTGTTTCATTTTCGTCTATGCAGATGAAGTGGTGATGATTTCAGTTGCCTGCCTTATCATTTTGTTCAGTGTACAGAAGTATGGGACAAGTAAAGTGGGACTTGCAGTAGGACCTGCTTTGTTCTTATGGTTTTGTTCTCTTGCGGGCATTGGGGTATACAATCTTTTGAAGTATGACAATAGTGTCTTAAGGGCATTTAATCCAATTCATATCTACTATTTCTTCAAGAGGAACTCAACTAAAGCATGGTATTCTCTTGGGGGTTGCCTACTGAGTGCAACTGGTAAACACATTATTGCAAGATCTTGATATTGGGAATGCAATAATATTGTACACTTTGTCTAGTCATTTATGTAAATTTGGTTCTACCAGTCTTTTTTTATTTGTTTTAAAGACAATGTATTGCCAGCAATTGTGATGATCAGTGCATAGTTTTTCATTTAGTGTTTGCTGCTATATGAGGAGAAATTGTCTGCATTTTGAGGTTATTGATAAACTTGTTCTATCACTGTAATCCCTACTGGCCCATGGTAAAATGTGGTAAATTTGCAATACAGATGTAACTATTGCTAGCATATGCACAACCAATTCAACTATCGATTGACATATTGAATGGCGTATCATCTTGCAGGTTCTGAGGCCATGTTTGCTGATCTTTGCTACTTTTCTGTACGATCAGTTCAGGTAATAAATTTTGTCTTCGTCATATTCATTTGTTTGACATGCTTTTTTTGTTACTGTGTCCTTGGCCAACTAGTTTGTTAGTGAAGCTGATGTTCTAATTTGCAGCTTTCATTTGTCTTCCTTGTTTTGCCATGCCTGCTATTGGGTTATTTGGGTCAAGCTGCATACCTTATGGAAAACCATGCTGATGCTGGTCAAGCCTTTTTTTCTTCCGTTCCAAGTAAGTGTTAATAATATCACTCTTTACAGTATGTTGTCTCTGCAATTTACAAGACATTCAATTAATGGTTTTCCCTGCCTGCAGGTGGTGCATTCTGGCCAATTTTCCTTATTGCCAACGTTGCTGCACTTATTGCTAGCCGGGCTATGACAACAGCAACATTTTCATGTATAAAGCAATCAACTGCACTGGGTTGTTTCCCCCGTCTTAAAATCATTCATACTTCTCGGAAATTTATGGGCCAGATTTATATCCCTGTTATAAACTGGTTTCTCTTGGTGCTTTCCCTGGTGCTTGTCTGCACAATATCTAGCATTGACGAGATTGGAAATGCCTATGGTAATGAACATATTTCAATTGTTTTATTTTTGGTAAAACATATCAGCAATTTTTACTTAACAGTCAAATTGCAACTTGGTGATCCCATATTTTATCGACTATCACAATAGAATAATTTGCATCTGTAGCTTATATTGTTGTAATCATTTGGAAAGGCATTAAACTACTCACCTAATATTTTTTTTTTTAATAATCCTTAATATTTCTTTTAAATATCTTCAACTATAATTGAGAAATACTAATACAACTGGAGCCTTGTATAAGTTGACCCAATTTGCCTAGAGGAACCCACGACCCTAAACCTCATCATTGCACTGTTCTTTAAATGGTAGCTGTAAACTTGGAACACATTTTGTGTATATACGGTTTCCATCATCATGACTTATAAGAAGTGCTGGTTATCTTTTTCTATTTTATTACAAATGGCTGTGGACATGTAGTTTTGTAGAATTTGAGAAAGCTCATTCGAGGTTTTTTTTTTTTTTTTTAATAAATTGCCTGATTGATAATAATTTGATTTCTGAAGGTAGATAGGGCGATGTTGCTTTTAGGCACTAAACTTAGTTCATTGTCATTATATGATAATAATGCATTTGTATTCAGCTTGCTCCTTATCCCCTTTCAGGCATTGCCGAGCTCGGGGTGATGATGATGACCACTGTTTTAGTAACCCTTGTTATGCTTCTTATATGGCAGATACACATCATCATAGTGCTGTGTTTTGTGGTAGTCTTCTTGGGATTGGAATTAACTTTTTTTTCATCTGTCCTGTGGAGTGTGACGGATGGAAGTTGGATTATATTGGTCTTTGCCATAATAATGTTTCTTATAATGTATGTATGGAATTATGGAAGCAATCTCAAATATGAAACTGAAGTCAAGCGAAAGCTGTCAACGGATTTGATGAGAGAATTAGGTTGTAATCTTGGGACAATACGAGCTCCTGGGATTGGTTTGCTTTATAATGAGTTGGTCAAAGGAATACCGGCAATTTTTGGCCATTTCCTGACCACACTTCCTGCAATACATTCTATGATCATATTTGTGAGTATCAAGTATGTTCCAGTTCCTATGGTGCCGCAAAGTGAAAGGTTCCTTTTTCGGCGAGTCTGTCCCAAAAACTACCATATATTTCGTTGTATTGCCAGGTAACTAGCTTTGTTGTTTTACATTTGTGAAAAGTTGTTGTCTAGGGAAAAGTTAAATGGATTATAAAATTCGGTCCTAGGTATTACTTTTAAAAATACTTTCAGTGAGCATCTTAAGATAATTTAGTGAAATAATATATTTTATCCTCTTGCTAAGAAGTGTCTATTTGTCTGAATTTTTGTCACAGGTACGGTTACAAAGATGTTCGGAAAGAAAATCACCAGACTTTTGAGCAGCTGCTGATTGAGAGCCTAGAGAAGTTTATACGTCGTGAAGCTCAGGAGAGGTCACTGGAAAGTGATGGGGATGATGATTCAGATTCAGAGGATCAGCGTCCTGTTTCTAGGGTTCTCATAGGTCCTAACGGGAGTGTTTACTCACTTGGTGTTCCTCTTCTCGCAGATTTTAAGGACACAACCAACCCCGTTTTAGAAGCAAGCACATCAGAGGTGATAAGCTCAGTATCCCCTGATCCCAGTGTGTGTGATGCGGAGCAGAGCCTTGAGAGTGAGTTATCTTTTATTCACAAGGCTAAAGAAAGTGGTGTTGTTTATCTTCTGGGTCATGGGGATATAAGAGCAAGGAAGGACTCATGGTTCATCAAAAAGTTAACAATAAACTATTTCTATGCATTTTTGAGAAAGAACTGCAGAAGGGGGATCACGACTTTAAGTGTACCACACTCAAATCTTATGCAAGTTAGCATGACTTACATGGTGTGAAAATCAATTTTGCAGCCCAAATAAAAAGAATGATAATTTACTTGAAAATAGAGTTTGATAGCAGTGAGTGGGCATTGAAGGTCATCTTGGAATATTTATTGTCTTTCTGTCCGTCAATCCGGAAGTTGGGCAGATGTTTGTTTTGGTTGTGGGATCGCCATCCTTACACATAAATTCCACCTATTGTACAGTTGCTTTCTTATTCTATCAGCCTTAATTTGTTCTCCACCTTCCCAGCTCTGATGGCACAAATCACTTCATATATTTTTTCTTATTTCAAATCTATCATTAATGTACTAAATTCACAATATAAATTAAAAAAATCATATATTTTGTGTCATTGTGCTTTTCATCAAATTTAATTTTATCCTTATATTTTAAAAATGGATTTTTTTTTCTGTTTTTAAACTGTAAAAATGTGAATTTACTTATTTTATTATTTTCATGATTCTAAAATTTGTTATAAAATATCAAATTTAAGTATCAAAGTACTAAGATTATATATTATATTAATTTATTTATTTTTATTAATTTTGTGTAGGGAAAAGAATTTAGGATGAGAAAAATTAATTTCGTGTCCAAAGCCAACTTCTCTCAAGTCTCAAGTCCATAATCTAAGTAGTCATGTAAGAAGGAAAGAAATAGAGAGGAAAGAAGAAATTTAAAGAAAAAAAAAAGTAAAAAGAATGAGACACACCACATATGAAGTAAGGATTATTCTTATAATTAGGCAAACATAAATAACCGATCCTGAATAATTTAATAATCACTCTCTTCATATTCCACACCTCTAATAGTCCATTTTCACTTAGCCTAAATCAATATGACTGAGTATAAATACAATCTAAAAATGATACCTGAATATGGATTAAAAATAATTAATAACGTCAAAAATAAAATTTGTGATATTAGATAAATATTTTTACAAATAATAAAACTTTCTTATCTCTTACAAAAGAAATTCAAATTTTGAGTGTTTATTTTCTAAGAAATAATTACAAATTCTAATAAAAAACATAATTTTGACATATAAAATGATGATAGTACATTTATTGTTCAACTAACAATTAATTCACAAGACTAAAATTTATAAATAAATTTATATACTTTTAATAAATTTAAATATTTAGGAATAAAATAAAATTACGTCACCCTTGAGACAGAGAATGGTATGCTATGAAATGAGAAAACAGCGGAGAGAGAGAGGTAAGCCATGAATTAAAAGGAGTTGCCACACCTCATAAATGTCCTCATCCGTGCTATCATAATCTTTACCTTCACCTTTTCAAATAAAAGTACAGTAGTAACATCAACACATCAAAACAAAAGTAAGGAAAAAAATACAATAAAAGTGTTCCTTCAAACTCTGGTAATATACTATGCTGCTGCACTGCCTATACCTTCCTCCATTTTTTTAAACCTAATATGATGTCAACAAAGCACTTCAAGAAAATAATTAAACAAATAGATCAAAATTCCTATAAATTTCAAAGACTCAATTAGGAAGGGGAACTTTTTTCTAAAATTGAGTGAAAAAGAGTTTTTTTTTTTTTTTCATTGAGAAATCAGAAGAAGTGGGGAGTGAAAATGAAAAATTGAAGATAAGCTTGCATGGAATACCAATGCTTAACCGTCTTTGAAATCAGAATATAATGTATTTTCCTTCTCAGTTATTTATTTATTTATTTGTTTTTAATTCCTTGACCTCATCCCCGATCCTTTTATTCAATTAACTCCATCACCCCTTTCCTTTTCTTTCCTTTTTGTTATGTTGTTGTTTGTCATTGTGTCTCTTGTGGTTCTTCTTCAACTGTTCTACCCCTTTTATCTGGTGCTTTTTGAATGGACAATTAAGATAAATAATTAATTTATAAGCAACAATGATTTTTATTTTCAATTATTTGAAAAACAAAACATAAGGAAACGTGTGCAGAAAGCATGTGTGATGGTTTCAACTATCTATATAAGTAAGAACAAGGATTAATATTTTCATTAAATAACTTTATAATAATTTTTTGTTGCATATATAAGTAGTATTAACCCTTTTTCCTTTAATAATAACAATACAATTCAGTCTTCATTGAAATAATATAAGATGCATATATTAAATCAATAATGTTTTGTTGTGAGTTTTAGTTAATTGAGGGGGTAAAATACACAATTTTGTAAATAATTTATTTTTTACACATTTGGTCTGAGATAAATCACCTTAAGACCAACCTCACATGGTGTAAATATCTTCCTAATGTAATGACTTTTGAATTCAAATTTAATTTAAAAGATTCTGTTTTATCAAAAAAAATATTCCAATGTGTTAATTAATAAATCTGGGTGGGTCTCGACACATGTTTTCAAGAAAAACTTTTTGCGTCCCACCATGATCCTATTTGTGACAGACTTGGTTATTTTCAAAGTATAGAAAACCATTTGTCAGAAAATGTCGCATGTATCATACCCAAATCCCAACCAACTTAGCATGAATGAGTCCTTGAAATTGTGAATAGCTACAGGATTTTAGATTTGTGCATGGGCAAATTCTACAACATATACAGGGCACCAGCACAGACAGTACTCAAATTATCACCATCAAGCGGTTGCAGAAACTTACCTATTGACGATCAGGGGAAATTATAACATAGTAGTTGTTATAAACCTATCTTATATATCTGAGAATGGAGGATATAAGATTTGATAACGGCGTAGTCTGTTAAAGAGATACTGGTCCAGATAACCACTCTTCTGTCATTGAGTCCAGATGGCCACTCTTCTGCATTTACACGCTGAAGAAATAACTGCTTCAGTTGCTATCTTCTTGATCTGCCACTTAGCCCACCAAGGCATGTAAATCATTTTATAGTTTTGAAAAATGCATAATGACTCCCAAATGAAGAACAAGCAGACTAAGGGGAGTAAATGTCCAGCATCATATTTCAGATTTAAGTTCTTTTATGTGTTATTCATATTTTAAGTGCAAGTATCTTATCTAACAATTCAAAGGTATAACTATTTGCAACAACATCGCAATTAGTAAACAATTCTATTAGAGATGCAAAATTGAGTTTTGAGTGAGATAAACACTTAAGTCTCAAACTGTCCTCTAATATTTTAGTTCTTGTGTATTAGGCGTGGACATCATTTTACAATGAATCCTTACTAACAATCCTATTGAATTGAAAAGAAGAATGACCAACGAAGCATACAATTCAGGTAACAATAGGTAAAAAGCCACTAACATAGAAGGATTTTCAAATTCTCATTTATTCATTTTATAAATATCAATAAATCCGGTGTATTGAGTGGTAGATTAAGGAGAAAAGAATGCAAGCAGTGTACATGAAAGGAAATTACACATGCACCTCTCTCGCACTTTCCCCATCATCCTTCATTTTTTTCTGTTGGGGAGAGAGGGTGTGGAGTTCAACTCCACTATGTGGGCATGAGAGAATTTTAGTATAAGTCCAAGGTTAGGTAAGGTTTCAAAAAGCATCAGCACAACATGCTTATGATGTCTGCAATACACCCAATGGATTTTTCATTTTTTCCTTATCTCTTCCTGATTTTCAATCACGTTTTTTGTCCATCTATGGATTTTTCTCTCTTCCTCAATTTTTGTTCTCTCTATCTCACTCTTACTTTCAATCATACAGCTAAAACTAGGGTGTGTACTTTTTTCTTTCTTTAAACTCAGGCATCACTACGTTAGACGTTACCTTTCTTCTATATTGCATAAAAATCCACAAAACAAATACATGTCAGCGACATTTGTAACATTGAGCCCCATAATGAAGACAAATAGAAGCAACAATATAGAAAACCAAACCTCGAAGGGTAGAAGTAAAACCACATGTAGTTAAATGCTGTGCAAGTTCCTCCCCTAATTGCTTTAGATAATTTGGTGCAGTTTTTTCTTCAGGTGCAGGCGAAACAATTGCTGTCTCGGATGCCAAATTTACATGTGCAGATAACACTTGAGGCTGTCCACTCCATTAATCATTGAACACAAATGAACACATAATAAGAACATGAACTTAGGTTACATTCAAAGTTATAACATAGAATATTGTTTAGCAATTGTAACATATGGAAAAATTGAAATTGGTACAACATAATATTACTATTACTATCACTTACTCGGCTTTCTAAAAGTTTTTTGACGCTATTAGCGCAACCTTCGCACATCATTCCCTGGATAGAGAGAAAGAATGAGAAGTGAATTTAAATTTCTCATTTGATTCCGCCAGACAAAATTATAAAATCTGGAAGTGAGGAGGTCAAACTCAAACAAACCCCAACGTGGAGAGTGATGACGGCGTCGTTCGCAGCGGAAGAGCACCGAAAGGGCGTAACGGAGTTGAGGCGGCTATGAAGCTGTCTGACTCTGCCTCTGACCAAAGGACGGTGGTGCTTCAGAGGTTTGGAAAGTGCCAGCTGCGCGACCGTCACACACGACGGAGAATCCATTGCGAACGGAATTGGAATCGGCAACGAAAGAGACGAAGACATGACCACCTCACAACCAAATTATTCTCCAAATAAAGAAAACAAAAGAATCGAAATTATAATGAAAATTATAGGGTGATTTTTTATTTTTATGAAAAAATGCGATGTATTCGTCTTTTGGTAATGATAATGAAATAATATAAACAAAATATTTAATTTTCCTGAAAATAAAATATATAACTTTTTAATAGATATAAGAATGTACTTTTAATTTTCATATTTCGACAATGTAAAAACATTAGCGTCTACTTGTGTAATCGTGAATTTCGATATTATTTCTTGTTGTTTTTCAAATTCTAAAATGAATAATAAATATTATAATAATACGTATAAAAAATAGATACTCTCATATTTATTAATAAACTTCACCAAATCAATCTCATAAATAATATATCTAAAAATAATTAATTAAATATTTGTTTTAAGTTTATTTAATCATAAAAAAATAAAAAAATAGTAAATATTTATTTTAAGTTTATTTAATTATGAAAAGAGAAAATTAAAAAAAATAAAGAGAAAAAATAAATATATTATATCTTACGAATTTATTTTCCTTTATTAAAATTTATTTATGAACAATAAATAGCTATAGTTATGTAAATAAACTTAGAAATATTCTATTTACACTCTCATCTATTTATGAAGCGAAAAAAAATGAGGTAAGAAAAAAAAATTAATTATATTATATTAAAAGAATTTATTTTTTCTTATTGAAGTTTATTTATCAACAATAAAAATTTAGTTGGGTAAATAAACTTAGAAAAATTATATTTTTTTTGTTATATGTATTTATTTTTCTCTATTTCTTCTTTTGTTCTTCTTTTACTGTATCTTATTTTTCAATTAAAAATAGTATATTGAAATTTGACAAAGTAAGTTTGTTATTGTTACTAAAAATAAAAAGTAGTTAAATAATCCAAAAATATTATAATTTAATATATTATATTTTAAAAAATTATGTAAGAATTGAGACTTTTTATTTAATGAGAAACAATGGTTAAATGGAGTAGAATTTAAAAGTTTACCTTTGATATAAAAATAGTTTAAATAAATAAAAAACTTTATTTGTAAATAATTATCATTTCTCTAAATTCTAAATCTTTTTATTTCTTTTTAAAACTTATTTACTCAATTATTTTTCATTTCCTAAATTCTAGTACATCAAGTGTGCTCTTAGTGGCGAGAGGAACATTTACATCAGATCAAAATCTTAAATAGAGTAAGTTTTTCTTTCCCCAATTTTAGAGTTTTTAAAAATTTGCGACTAAGATTTGCATATGTGCATTTGAGTCTTGCATGTGATCTTGGTGGGGTAAAAATGAATATTGACTAGTTTAGAAATATTGTAATAGGTTCGATTTGTTAATTGAGTTTTTTTATGACCAGAATTTAACTCCCTAAAAAATTTGGGATTTAGAGCTTTCAAGTTTGAACACACTAAAATTAAAAGGTAAGGGAAGTTAGTTATTCCTTGATTTTTATTATATTCTAAGTTAGAAGATCTAGATTGTGGAGGTGACTTCGTCACATTATTTGATTTTCAGGAAATTGATTGGTTGTTTTGTATCTAAAATTATGTTTGAATGGGTTAAGTTAGATTAATGATGTGTATAAACTAGCAGGGTATAATAACTATAGATGGACTAAGTATGATATATTTTAAAAAGAATTTGAGTAATAGAGTCTTATAGAATAGTGTTTGATGTTTAGAGTGTAGTTTAACATGAGTTTAACAAGTTTGTGATTTGCATATTTCGCTCAAATGATAAATGGTCATTTAGTAGAATTATGCAAAAAGAAAGAAATTACTCATTTGGATGCATTTTCGTTAAAGAAAAATATCTCGTTCAAGCAAAAATACACTTAATGGAAAAGACTTGTCTATGGTGTATTTTGGCTCAAGCGAAAGTGATTATTGCTTAAACTATACAATTTTCATTCAAGCTAAATATCTTATAATTTTTCTGTCCAAACTTCTAAAAATAATAAAAAAGAGCTCATAATTTCAAATCTAATGTTCCATGTATGCAAATCGAAACCATGGAAATAAGGAATCCAATGAAATAAGAATTGGAAAAAATATGATATTTGTAGAAAAATTTATAACCAAAAGAATAGACATAAGTCAATTCCTATAAATTTATTCTTTCATTGAAATGTGAGAAATGATATAAATATGAAATAATGCATGTTAGGTACTAATATATGTATAGGAAAAATATATCGTTATAATATGAGAAATAATATGAATTATTCTTATATGTATGCTATTTTTGTGATAAATTAATGAAGTTAACACAATAGTTTTCAAGGAAGATATATTATGTTGAGATATAGGTAATGTATTAAATTTGATATTCTGAATGAGATATTATAACTTTACAAATATTGAATTCACGTAGAAAAAAGGATCAAGTGGTGATAATTGAAAGAGGTTTGTATGACTTATCATATGATGTAAAAAAAAATATGTCTAGCAAGTCACAAAAATTTACCTTGTCACACAAGGGAACACATCTAATTATGTACATATGTTAGAGATATCAACTTAGGGAAGGTAACATGATATATGCAAAATCTCTGAGTCTAATTCAATGCATGAGAGTATTCCAAAAATAAAGTAAAGTGTTTATGATTGTGAAAATAAGTGTATGATGACATGAGATATAACTTACATGTTGAGATGTTAGACACTTGATTTATTATAGTGATGCTTGATTTATTTATTCGGACGTAAATATTGAGAATATTTTGTAATACAATATGAATAAATAATTTTATTAGTAACTTACTCTAATTTATATGATGTGTTAATCTATATTGCAAATGTGTTGTTACAAATTAGTAAATAATATTTGATATGGTTAATCTTAACATTAAGCTAAAAAAAATATTACATTTAATTTATTTTGTTTTGAAAATAAATATATATAAAAAACTTATGTAATATAATAATATTTATTTTGAAATACTTAGATGTGATGGAAATTACTTAATGTAATTATATCTTTGGTATTTTTTAATCTTGTGATGTTACAAATTATATAATATATTTGAAAGGTTTCCAATATTATTATTATTATTATTATTATTAAAAATGAAATATTTATTTTAAGGTCATTTTAATAAATAATCTTTTAAAATTATCTAATTTAACTAATTATTATAATTCAATTTAATTATAATTATATTAAATTATTAAATAAAAAATATATTTAATTTTTAAATATTTAATATTTTTTTAATTAGATGAGTAATTATTTATTATAATAAAATAATTTTAAATTAATTATTTATTGTTAAAATAAAAAAAATTATTTATTTTAATTATAATTTTAAATAATTACTTAATATTTTTTTAGTTTTATTGTTAATTTTAAAATATTTATTTTAATATATTTCTATTAAATTTTAATATAATAGTTTAATTAGAAGAATAAATGAGAGAGAAAAAAGAATCTAAAATAAAAAAGTAAGAAGTAAATAAAAAAAGAAAAAAAATTGAGAAAATAAAAGAACAACATAAAAATAATAAACAAATATTGGATACATAAATTGATAAAGATTTTATTTGAAAAATATTTATTTTAAAATTCATTTTAAACTTCACGCTTACATTCGAGATCTATTTAATTAATTATGTATGACTCTTAAAAATGTTTAATCCAACCCATTTTACTCTTAAAAAAATTTATAATTTTGTTATTTTATAATTACTTTAATTGATGGTTATTTTTGTCTAAAAATTTGATTGATTGTTTTTGGTGTTATTTCTAGTCACTGTAATGCTATTATATCTTTTAGATATTTATTTATTTTGACGTAATTATCTTCTATAAATCGGATTAAGATATTAAACTTTAACATTTTACGTGTAAAAGAGAGTAGAATAAATCTTCAATTTTATTCCGCGGAAACTTTGTTATGAATTATCGTAGATTAGTTTTATTAGTTTTTATTATTATTTATTGCTCTTTGATTTCAAGAAAATTTATATAAGTATTTATAATATATTTTAATTATAATTTTCATTTTTTTCACTATTGAACTTATTAAACCTTCATTTATTTAACGATAAATTTATTATTTTATAATTGTGTGACTTATACTTTCATAAAAGTAATTAAAAAGTACTCGATTAAAACATAGTTTTGATCTTGCTTTTATTTTTGTATATTATTTTGATATTTGGTTTTTTAAAAATCCACGATCTTTGTTCAATAATAATTTTTGAATACGTTTTTTTTAATATTTTAATGATTGAATTACTTGTAATATCACCTTAAAATAACATGTTAAGATTTTATTACTGGAAAACAAAACAAATAAACATATAAAATTTATATTTTATGTTGAAAAAAAATAACGAAATCAAAATCACATAAAAAAATAGTTTTAGGTTGAACTAAAATTCAGTCAATTTGTTTTGTTTCAAAGTTTTTAAATCCACGACTAAGAGAACAAAACAATCATATATTACACGTAATAGTTATTACAACATGTTACTTTATTTTTAAAAGTAGTTTACCTAAGATATTTATTATTAGAGTAATAATTATTATTTAAATTAGAATTAAATATAGATAGTTTATACGTTTATTTTAAATAATATTTATAATTAATTTACCTGTCCATAACGCGTTATTCAACTACTGGTCTCAAACGAGTCAAGCCTCATTTGCAAAAAATAACTACATATTACAAAATTCTTATTTTTTTAATTTTTCTTTACATTACTTATTTTATTAAACACGATTTTTCTCTTTCACTTGTGATCTCTCTACGTCAATAATTCACTAATATTTATGCAGAAATATCTTTATTCTTTTGCAAATATATTTTTCTTATTATTTTATTTTCCAGAAAATCTAAAATAAAAAAAGAAATTCATAAGAGAAAAATTGAGATAAACATTTATGATTTTAAATTAATAATAAAAGTTATACTAAAAAAATGTGTAAGAGACTACGTTACTCTGTATAATATAAATACTAAATATACAGTATCAGTTTTTCACTTTATCACGTCACTTGAGAGTTGAAGGGGAAAGAAAAAAAGAAAAAGAAAAGAAAAAAGTCTGTCTCTCTCTCGTCCTTCGTCGTTCGCGTTGATCTCAGATTCAGTCTTCGCCATGGCGGAGGGTTCTTCTTACGGATTGCGTCGTCCATTAGGTCATTTTCTAGTTGCCTTTTTCTTTTGCTACTTAATTTTTCGTGGAATGCTTCGATCCTGTAGATTTAATTGTTTTTTCGACGCGATTTCTTGCTGCTGAGCTTCAGCTGTTGAACTCTGTTTCTTTTGTTGAGTGGATTCCTGTTATTGGTCTAAGTGTCTGGTACTGTCAATGGGTTGACTAATGAATGGACCTAAAGTTTGGCCCTTACTGAAGTTGACAAAAATTGTGCTCAATTGATTTGGGGAAATAACCATTTTGGTACTTTTTTGGGTCAAATTACGCTTTTATAGGTGTTAGAGCGTCTTTGGAACTAGGTTCGAATGATATGAACTATTGATAGGTATTGCTTCACTGCATCGATTTTATACTTTTTCGGATTCTGAGTGCTGAAACTAACTAATAATCAGCTTCAATTCTCCCAAATTAACTAACCTAGTAGTATTTTCAAATTTGTAACTATTTCAAAATGGTTTTATTAGAGAAAGCACATGCATTGAAGGAATTTTCCTTGTAAAAGAACTAAAGACAGCTAAAAAGAGCATTATGGTTCTCTCTCATCATTTTGTGTTTTCCAATAAATTTTACCAATAAGGAAGAGTGTGTTCTAAAGGGCGTGTTGCTAGCACTCCTGTACAGATTAATATAAGTATAATGAAAATTACCCACATAAATGTATGAATATAAATTTTAAGTTCAAGTTTAGTTCAACGTCACCGTTTACAAAATACTTACGTTATCACATAGATATGTTTATCGAAAACCTTTCTTCATTTGGTTGGATCTTTCAATTTATGATTTTCTTATAGCCCTCCCAATCTCCTGTAAGATCTTGATTCTGACAACATTGCTCAAAAAATTATTTGGTCAAAAGCTCGCATTTTGATTTTAACTAGTTTGAACACAAAATAGGCTATTCCAAATAATCACATAAAAAATCGAATAGATCTGAAGAAATTAATATGTATGGTAGATTAATTGATTCTGTCTTTTTTTTTTTGGGGGGCGGGGGGGGACAAATTTACGTACTAGATACTTTGTATATTGCACACATGACTTGCAGTGGCTGTTATTTTTATATATCAGTTTATCTTTCTTTTTTATTCTATTAGAACTATATTCTTATTGATGCATGTGACTTTTGTGACCATGATTTGATTTTATAAACTTGCTTGAAAGTTGTGTATGTGTTCTAATTTAAAAATCAAATTTTTACCAAATTCTTTGATATCAATCGGCAGATATTCAGCAATTACAATTTGAAGCCCAGCACCGGTGGTTGCGACCTGCAGAAATTTGTGAAATTCTTCGTAATTATCGGATGTTTCATATCACTTCAGAACCTCATAACAGGCCACCAAGTATGGTTACTTCATGTTACTGATAAGTTAATTGGCACCTGTATATACTTTACATGTATGGATCGGATGAATTGCCCAAGAAGCTTTGACTAACTTATTTTCCATGACTTGTTTGGTGCAACTTGGCGTTAATGAAAATTTTAGGCCAGAATTATCATTTCTTTATAGGTGCTGAACAATGCGCTTCAGCATGGAAGTATTGCCATCCTTGAGTTCATTTAACTGAATTTAGTTCCCTTTAAAACAGTATGAAGTTTTTTTATTGTAAATTATCTGAATTTAAGTTATTTTCATGTTCCAAAAGATCCTTTATATTTCAGGTTAAAGAATACAGGCACATTGGGTAATGCAGTAAAAAAAAAATCATGAAGTTTGGTAGCGAAAAAGCACCTTTAGGAATTATTTGTAGTATTTTGTTGTTTTGCTTTAACTTGCTTTGTTGCTAACTTCATTCTAACTTTTAGTTCCTAATCTTATTCCTATCATTACTTCATACTTACATAGATGTCACTTTTATTTCATTGATTTCAGGTGGTTCGCTTTTTCTTTTTGATAGAAAGGTTTTGAGATACTTTAGAAAGGATGGACATAATTGGAGAAAGAAAAAGGATGGAAAAACTGTGAAAGAAGCTCATGAAAAGTTGAAGGTAATCTTATAATTTGCTTCATTTTTTTAGTTTATACTTATAATCAAATTTGTGTAAGGTTAGCTTATACATAAGATGATTGGATTTTTTTACTTAGTCTTCTCTAACTGCAAAGCAAGTCTTTAAGCATTATATAATTATTCACTGGGGTTGTAACATCATTTAAGCAAATTTAGGTTGGAAGTGTTGATGTGTTGCACTGCTACTATGCCCATGGAGAAGAAAATGAAAATTTTCAAAGGCGAAGCTACTGGATGCTTGAACCGTGAGTATGAATTAACTTACAAGATTTTGTGTAATATGTCTTGGAAATTAAAGTATATTCATATTTCACATGTTTGTTGCTTTGTAAGCTTCTTGGAAAGTACTGCATTAGTTCATTTGGTATCATATCTCATGTCAATTTATGGACGAAAGTTTTTAAGGGTGTTTCATTACCCTCAAACTTAGTGAATAGAGCATTGGAGTTACATTTAGTGCTTTCTTTTTGGTGTTTATTTACTTCAATGGAGTTGCTAGCTTAGACGAGTTGGTTGAGAAGATTTACTGCATTCCTCTTCCCTTTTTTGGTTTGTTTTTAATGTTTTGAAAGATTTGTTATCCTACCCTCAGTTGCGATCCACTTATCAGCCCATTTCTCCCTAATGTAATTTCTTTGTTATCTACAAATTGTAGATAGCATTTTTTAATCTTATTGGGTTTTAAATATTTTGCTGCATCTTAACTAATTTGAGTTTTCAATGTGCATCCACTGAGATATTTCATGTCTTATAATTAGTCAGAACATGGTTTTCTTGCTAATTTTCATTTATTGCAGGGAGATGATGCACATTGTATTTGTCCATTACTTGGAAGTTAAGGTATTTTGGTCATTTCTTTATATACTTTGCTGTTATTACTCTTGTTATTTCCTTCTAATGGCTGTGTTTTTATCATTTATATCTCTTTCATTTCTACCTTCTAATGCACATAATATTTGTTGAAACAATTTACCTCCATAACTAGAGTTTTGATGTTTTACAAAATATGATGATGCGTTTGAAGGAAGAAAGAATGAAACAGCTGCAGTTCTTGTTGTCTATGCTAAGCCATCATGAATGATTGATGATATCATCGGTACTCATTTTGGTTCGTTTTATTATCTAATTACCATGGCTCTAACAGTGTTGCTAAAGGAATTAGTTAAAGTATTTGCAGGATGAGTTTTTTTTGTAATGTGAAAACTTGAGTGGGACACAGCCACTAAGCCATTTTTAGATATGATTTGTATGACATCTATATTTAGTTCAATTTGATCAATTGCCAATGTTAATTTTTTAGTACTATCAGTATCACCTACTTGCATGTTAATGTGCCATCAAAATACATCCAGACTATACTCCAATTTTTAAATTAGGACATTGTTTGTATTTGTGTAAGCACTTATAGGAGATGAGAATAAGATGAAAAAATGAAACAAGCTTCTCACATGAGTTAAAATTACTTTTTATAACAGTTAAAATGAGAGAGTTTCTACAGATTATGTATAGTCTAATTTTGTCAAACGAGAGAAATTTATTTCATTTTTCATTTTTTTTAGTGCTTATAGAAAAAATTATCCAAATAGGGTCAAGTTACTTCTTTTGTAGGATTGCAAGTAGTTTTCTTGTTCAAGGGTGAGGATGAGGGAATAACATTCAGTCATACCCATGGAAGGTTGGTGTAGTGGCCGTAGCAGACAGACCAAATAACAGGCTGAATAGTGGCCATAGTGGGTGTTATACTGGCACTATGTTGATTCCAAAAATCCATCTGAACAGAGACATTAGGGCTATTATGGTATTTAATTTTTGAGAGGGAGGGGATGATATGCCGAAAGGGTCATAAAGTATATGTTGGGTTTGGGGATTGGATTCAAGCCGGTGAATCTCTTAAATGGGAAAGTGCTCGTGTTTAACCCAGTATTATGAGTCAAGAGTTGCACCTCTCCCAAAATCTCAAGCTTTTGGCATGGTGATAAAAGCACAATTGGTCATATCATACTTTATCCTTTTTTATAAACACACTTGGTCAAATCTATTTCTTTCATATTCTTAAGTGAAATCAGGCAGAAGGAATTTGAAGCTGTTCAATATAGAAGAATCTGTGTTTTGGAGTTCTGGTCTTAATTGACTTGAGTGCATGAGTGATTTTTATTCATAGATTATTCTGGTTTATTTCTCAGGGTAACAAAAATATTGTAGTAAATACTGAAGGTGATGAGGTCCCATCAGATTCCCAAAAGGTAACTTCTCCATCATCTAGCCTTCCCACACATCATAGCGGTGTTACTTCACTTAGCACAGATTCTGTCAGCCCATCAAACAGTTTGATGTCTTTACGTGAAGATGCTGATTCTGGTAATTCTGCTAAATTTATTTCAATAGGGTTCAAAAATTTTACGTGGTCTGTGAAGTGAATGAACGTGTTAGGGATTTGTTTGAATAAATCTCTCCACAAACATTTTTTAAGAAGAAAACAGGAAGGATCAATGAAATGAGTTTTCCCATAAGTTAAAATTAGTTTATATTTGTAAATTAATTTGTAGAAATTAATTTTAGCATATAGAGAAACTGTCTTTTTTGCTTTCTTATTTTCTTGTCCTATAATGGAGAAATTTATATAAACATACCCATAGTCTTTAACTATCTTGGTGTACTAAAGCTACAAATATTTGTTTAATACTTTGGCCCATTCGATTACCCTTAAATTTTTTAATTATTATTCTTTCCAGAGGATCTTCACCAAGCTAGTTCTGGGTTGCGCCCATTACACAATTCACAACATATGACGAATGGTCCTTTGACGGAAAAGACTGATGCTGGTTTGAACAGTTCATATCATATGCATCCCTTTTCAGGTTAGCTTTTCTCCTTTTTCTTCATTTTGTTGTCTCACGCATTCTATGACTTCTATTAGGCAACCTCTAACATGTGTTTTGCCCCGTATAACTTACAATGTTTTTAGGTGATCATGGACAGTCATCAATTTCTGGAACAGATTATATCCCAGTTGTTCATGGGGATGAATTTAGAGGAAATGACACAGCTTATTTTGATGGTGAGAGAACACATGTCTCGGCTCCATGGGACACCGACTTGCAAAGCACTGCCAAATTGCATAATGATCCTTCTCTTCAATCATTTCCTTCCATCCCATCTAGTTCAATGGGTAACGCCTTTGAACAAGAACATACCAATTTTGGTGTCCTTTTGACGTGCAAAAGAGGTCTCACTGAGGAAGAAGAGAGCTCTCACGGTTTCCAATCAAGTTGGCAGGTACATACTATTATCTGCACAGTATATCTATCAGTAGTATTATCTCCATCTGCAACTATTAGGGCCTGTTTGTTTACTTTCATCATTTTCTGTTTTCATTGAAAATGAAAACAGAAAATATGTTTGGTTTAATATATTCATTTTCAATTTCGGAAAACAAATTCAATATCTTCAAAAATACTAAAAACAAAAAAGTCGTTTTCTGCTTTTTTTGCTGATCAGGCAATGAGATTTTTGAAATTTTCTTTACTTTCTATTCATTACTTTTTCTCTCTTGGAAACTTGGGACCGTGCATTTCCAATAAGGCTATAATTAGATCATGCGATTCAGGTTGTGCATTCTCTCCCGAACCATCTTCTGAAATGATATTGTTGACCAATAACACTGCCTTGTAATTGAATTAGTTAGATGAATTTTTGTTTTGATATACATGTAAGTTAGGATGAATGTCCAACATCAATATAAATGTTTCAGACCACAAGCTGCAAGTTAAGAGGAGGAAATCATTCAATAGATAAAAAATTCAAATTACAGAGTGACAAAGATTTGTTGAAGAAAACCAGAAAATGAAAAGCGGATCTAAACAAACATATTTTCAAATTGATGAAAACTTGAAAATGAAAGAAATTTTTAGAAAATGAAAAAGATAACATTTTCTCCAACCAAATACCCTTTTTTGGGATGGACAAGACATAATGTGACAGTTTTATGGGACTATCTGGCACTGGACTGCATGTGTCATATTAAAAGGTTGTGAATTGTTTCTGAATCTTTAGAAATGCTATAATTCCAGATTACAGTTTCTTCAGATGTAACTATATTCAACCTTTTGTCAAGATGACTACTTTATTAGCTAGAACTCTTCCTAAATAACTTATTGGGTGGCCATGACTAGGTGTTGGCTTGATGTCTGTTCTATCTTTTGATTGCTTAATGTTTAACTTCGGTGTCTCTTTAATGTAATTCCAAACTACGAATTAATAGATTTAGCCAAAAAATACAACTATTCATTTTGTTATTTGATTAGATGCAGATTCCTTTTGAAGACAATTTAGGAGACATGCCAATGTTAACCCAAACCCAAACCCAATCATTTGATTTGCAATTTGGATCTGATTATGACACCGGTATACTGGGGAATGAAACTCATAATGCAAGTTCTGGAATTTCTCCGATCATATACAGTTTTCATGGTGAACCAAAAGAGCAGCTTATTCAGAAACACTATCCACAAGAGCATGCAGATGGACAATCTCAACATGCTCTAAAATCCAATTCTGCAAATAAAGTTTTTGATGAAGAAACTATCAATTATGGCTTAACTGTGAAGCGCACATTATTGGACAAAGATGAGAGCTTGAAGAAGGTTGATAGCTTCTCTCGGTGGGTTACTAAAGAACTTGGAGAGGTGGCTGATTTGAATATGCAGTCCACACCTGGTATCTCATGGAGTACGGATGAATGCCAGCATGTGATAGATGATGCTTCATTGAGCCCATCAGTCTCTCAGGACCAATTGTTTAGCATCAATGATTTTTCTCCTAAATGGGCTTATGCTGAGTCAGATATTGAGGTACTCATCTTTTTGAAAATCTTTATTATATATTATAATTCAGGATTCTCCCTCCAGTTTGGTTTTTTCAATCCTACTTTCCTTCTGATATTATCAGATCATATATTATATCATTATCTATATTATTATTATTATTATTATTATTATTTTTATTTGATTATTATCGTGTATTGATACATTATTGTATTAATATTTTCTATATGTAAAATATTTTATTACATACATATAATAATATAGATACTAAATGATATAGTTGTACACATTATAATACAATAAAATAATATATTATAATGTAATATAATAATAAGTGATGTAATATGTGTAGTTTGTATTCCAGTCTATTTGTCTGCCAATTTAAATTAATCTTCTCTTGCTCATTTTCAGTTTTTTTTTTTTGCCTATTTGCATGATATTTTTTTTTTCCACTTTTTTGCTTTTTTTTTTTCCTTTCCCATTGAAATGATTATTTTGTTCTACTTTTCCACTCATTTGCATGTTTTTTCCCCTATTCATTTTAATGAATTTCCCCCTCTATTCTCGGTGTTTGCAATTTGCATTTTTTTTCATTCGTATTCTTGCTCAATTTTACCTTTTGTATTTCATTTGTTTAAATACTTTTTTTTGTTCATTTATATGGTTTTTTTTTTACTCATTTGAATTTCTTTTGATTGCATTTTGGCTCATTATCATAATTTCCCTACTTATACTCACTCATTTGCACCATTTTTTATTTCACGTTTTTTATGTAATAATTAAAATAAAACTGTTTTGATAATAATTTTGTATGCACATGAAATTTAGGTCATTGGATTAAAATTATATGTATATTTAGTTAATGTTATTTGTAAAAAATTATAAATATTTTCTATGTTTTGTATTAAGTATTTTATAACGTAAAATAATTACAAAATCTTGTATGTATGGCTGGGCAAGTTGAACTAGTACTCTCAATACCAAAGAAAGAAACAACATTTAAAATATGCAGATTCCACTAGAATCGTGTTTTATTTTTTCTTTCCTGCCAACCATGTACTAGTTATTGTCTCCTTCTTTTCTCTTTTTCTATTATTTATTATATGAATAAGTACTCAGACAAGGCTTTTCATCGATCATCAGAACTTGTTCTTTTCTCCTAAAATGTCAAATGCTCATGTCCTAGTTAGATTTTATCTGTTGTTGTGCTTAATTTGCAATGCTCTCGATTTTGTTTTTATTTTTGTGTTTCTTTAACGCATCTGACAACCTTCCTTTATTTTCTCCACCCGTTTGGTATGTTATATATGATTATTGGTTTTACTCCTCTTTTTTTATTAGAGATTGATTGTCTTTTGCAAGATAAAATGAACACGAACCGGATGTAGTTTGATTGATATCTTATCCTGTTTAAAACTTTACAGGTATTGATTATTGGATCATTTTTGAAGAGTCAACCAGAGGTGACAACATGTAACTGGTCCTGTATGTTTGGGGAAGTTGAGGTTACTGCTGAGGTTTTAGCTGATGGAATTTTGTGCTGTCAAGCTCCGCGTCATAAAGTTGGACGGGTTCCATTCTATGTAACATGTTCCAATAGGTTAGCTTGCAGTGAAGTGCGGGAATTCGATTTCAGAGAAGGCTTTGCTGGAAATGTAGATTTTGCTGATTTTTATGACAGTTCCACTGAAATGCTGCTTCATTTGCGACTGGAGGATTTTCTTACTTTAAAGCCAGTGGACCCTTCAAAACATTCTTTTGAGGGTGATATGGAGAAAAGGAACTTAATTTTCAAGCTTATTTCACTGAGAGAGGAAGAGGAATATTCCATTAAGGATGAAGCAACTACAGAATTGGATATATCCCAACACATGGTGAAGGAGCATCTGTTTCACAGGCAAGTTAAAGAGAAGCTGTACTCATGGCTTCTTCACAAAGTAACTGAGAGTGGTAAAGGACCAAATGTATTAGATGAGGTTGGGCAAGGTGTGCTACATTTAGCAGCTTTTCTTGGTTATGATTGGGCCATAAATCCAATTATATCTGCCGGAGTAAATATCAATTTCCGAGATGTGAATGGATGGACAGCTCTTCATTGGGCTGCATTCTGTGGCAGGTAAAGGTCCTTGAGATTTCCCCCCTCTTTATTGAGTCCAGATGGTTGACCATAAGTTACGTCTTGTAATCTGGTTGAACCTTCTATATCTGCTATGATATTCTTCATATTTTCAGACTTTTATCAGGGGTGAAATTGTTCACAAAATTGTTTGTCCTAGAATATGAAGCGAATTTAAGTTTCTGTTTATTAGCTAAAATATGTTATGCCTAGAGCAATTGCTTTGATCAGTTAAAGGCAAATAACAGAAGGCTTTCTATTTTTTATTATGCTTTCATCGTTGTTTCTCAAATATGTTATGTTCTGCATAACACAATTTTTTTCTTGTTATTCTTTGTCCTCCTTTTCTCAGAGAGCGGACAGTTGCTTTCCTGGTCTCCATGGGAGCAGATTGTGGAGCACTGACAGATCCATCTCCTGCATTTCCGTCTGGTAGAACAGCTGCAGATCTTGCCTCTGGGAATGGGCACAAAGGAATCTCTGGTTTTCTTGCTGAATCTTCATTAACCCACCATCTTGAAACCCTCAGAATGGATGATCAAAAAGGTGGTCGGGAAGAAATTCCAGGAATGAAAGTGGTGCAGACAGTTTCAGAACGAACTGCAACACCTTTGCTCTTTGGTGATATGCCAGATGCCCTCTGCCTCAAGGATTCGCTTACTGCTGTGCGGAATGCAACACAAGCTGCTGATCGTATACATCAAGTATTCAGAATGCAGTCATTTCAGAGGAAGCAGTTAACTCAGTATGAAGCTGATGATGAGTTTGGATTGTCAGATCAGCAAGCTCTTTCCCTTCTAGCTTCTAGGGCATGCAAATCTAGACAAGGAGATGGTTTAGCCAATGCTGCTGCAATACAGATACAGAAAAAGTTTCGTGGTTGGAAGAAGAGAAAAGAATTCTTGATGATTCGGCAAAGAATTGTTAAAATCCAGGTTCATTGATCTGCTCTTTTAACTTATTTTTCATCTTTAATATTTCACATTTTTTTTTAAATAATCCGAATATTGTTAGATGTTCTTAGTTTCCGATCAAATCATCTTATCAATTATTCTGATATTTTGGAAACTAAAGGTGGAAAATTAATTACATTGGAGATTTTGATTGATAAAATCTCAGGAAAAGAATGGAAAGATGCTCCTATAAACTGTTGCATCTCTTTGTTCTATAACCTTTGTATACATGTGGATCACACATTGGAATTGTAAAAAGGTGGAGAAACAATCCAAAATGTGAACATGCATTATAATATTCTTTATATTGGGTTCATCCATCCATGCATTTACTTGGTGCGTTGGTGTTTTAACATTCACCAAATCATGAGCTTGAAGCTTTAGCCTGTTGGGCCTTAAAGGCAGTCATATGTTGTTACAGATTTAATGACAATTAAGAACCCTTGAAATAGGGAGTATTTAACTCCCATGAAAGTATACTAAAGGATATCATTTATCGAACTATTGCCTACCTGTAAAGGAGTAAATTCAATTTGATGACAACTAAGAGACTTTCTTTCGTTGCTCTTTTTTCCGCTTGACACATGCTACTTCCACTGACTGCTGAATTCTGTTGTGTCAAGGCCCATGTAAGAGGTCACCAGGTACGGAAACAGTATAAAACATTCATCTGGTCGGTGGGAATCCTAGAGAAGGTCATATTACGTTGGAGGCGCAAGGGTAGTGGTTTACGTGGATTTCGACCAGATGCCCTTAATAAAGTCCCCAGTCAAGAAAATGATTCTCAGAAAGAGGATGATTATGATTATCTCAAGGAGGGACGGAAACAAAAGGAAGAGAAGATCCAAAAGGCCTTATCGAGGGTGAAGTCCATGGTTCAGTATCCAGAGGCACGCGCCCAATACCGGCGTCTGCTAAATGTTGTCGAGGACATCCGTCAAACCAAGGTATTTTTTATCTTCTGGCAGGGTCTAGAGTCATAAAGAATAAATATTTGGTTTAATGATATGCTTATAATCATTTAATATCTGGCAGCCATCTAACGAGGGTTTGACCAATTCTGAAGAGACAGCTGATGGTGTGGAGGATTTGATTGATATTGATATGCTTTTAGACGATGACAATTTCATTCCTATAGCATTTAACTGATCCTGCTGTCGCAACTCCAATCTTCCCACTGTAAATATATGGCGCCAGTTTGGCTTTATTTCGCATTGGGGAGTCCTAACATCGTCTTGATGTATATATTTCTAGTCAAAATTACTTGGATCCAAGGCTATATATATATATAGGTCATGGTTTGTCAGTACTAGTCTAATGAAAACGTGGTTTTGATTTTATTTATGGTTATTTTAGTACGACAGGATAATTCTGTTTATAGATGGTTGGGGTTATAACATAATGATGTAACTTGCTAAACTACCAAACTGCAATTTGTACAAAAGTCGACTGCGCCCAGGGATTATATTTATATACTTAGTGCTAATTCTTATCAAGCCTGTTTTATTCTTTCAATTCTCCAACTTGCCATTTTACTTTTAAGACAATTCTTTTTTATTGGATATAAATTTTAAAGATAAATTAACGTTTTGTTCTCTCTCTCTCTCTCTCTCTCTCTCGTTATCTTTCTTACTTTTCTTTATTCTATCTTCCTTTTATTCTCTCCTTTTGCTCCTCCCATTTTTTTCTCTGAACTAACAATTTGAAATTAAAAAAGAAATATATTTTTTCAACTAATTATTTAAAAAAAAATGTCAAACATTCCAATTTTTCAAAAAATTTAATGTTGATCATAAAAGAACAACATTGAAGCTTCCACTCTTATTCCTGAATATTGGCAATTTCCTGGGTTTTTTGTTTGTGATTATCACATGAATAGGAGTTTAGCAATGCAAAGACCTCGGGGCACGTGCTTGAATTTTTTTTCATTTTTAATTGTAATTTTGTCATTCAAATTCGTTTTTATATATCAACATATAATATTTTGTTTATTTTAAAATTTAAATTTATTTTTTTATGAATTTATCAATAATATATATATACCAATGAATTAAAAAAATAGTGCATAGTCAGTAATATTGAATTTTTTAACATATCCACGTATTTATGTAATAATAAATAATTTACAAACAATTTATTTTAATAATACTACTGCATTCTTAAAATCATAAATATAAATATACTAATTAAACTAAAATAATCTCCCAATGATCCACTTTATGCTTACAAAAAATGTTTATTATTACATGATAATATAATGTGATTACAATTACATCCACATTTATAATAGTATAAAAAAACAGTGGCAAATTTGTTGTGTAATATGGTTTCCCCATGAATGTTGGTTGTAAGCTAATTGATAGCAGGCAGTTACTCAGCTCTTGAGTAACAGTGCAACAAAAACTGATGGGAGGAGACATCAGTACAAGGTTGTACACGTGGCAAAACCCCACCTCGTACACATAGGTCACTGTTTGTTTCCACGGGTTTGAAGTGGTAGCATGTCATGATGGCAATGGCAACATTAAGAAAGTAGTAAGAACAACTTTTCCTTGTTGTTTTGTAGCATAAAATCTGAATGGGATTTGACTTAGCTTTATACTATTCATTCATTCCACCAAACACTGCACAGAATAATGCATGCTATACAACTGAGGAGAGTTGACCCATTCATGCTGTGATTATAACCACGTCCACTACCATTTACCATTTATTATTATTATATTATCTTTAATTCTCTTTTTCAAAGTGTTGGGCACCAGGCTTTTATCATGAATCTAGTTTTTATCAAATTAAATAAATTATTCACATTAAAGGAAAGAGACCAATAATTTATTTATAATTTTAACTACTTTTAAAAAAAATATTAAACATGAAATTTTAAAGTTTAAATATATTTTTAATATAGGTAAACTTATTTTATTAATTTTAAATTTATGATATTTTTTATTTTTTATCATTAATTATAATTACTTTAATACTAAAACTAGAATTTATTAATAAGCATAATTAAAACAAAAATCACTACTTTTTTTTCTATCTTTGCATAATGCAAAACTAATATAAGTTTTTTAACATAAGATAATAGCCTTTACACATTTCCTGTTACTTATTAATTCTAAACTTTTGTTAATATTTTTTTTATCCTTTTATTATTAACTATAATTAATTTAATATAAAATATTTTGAAACATTTACATTATTTTTATGTATCTAATTAAATTAAACAATATGTTTAACACTTAGATAATGATATATATATATATATATATATATATATATATATTTATATATAATATGAATATAATAGCTCTTATATTATTTTTAAAATAATAATAAAATTTTATTTAAAAAACATTATCAAAAAGAAAATCTGGAAATATTTTTTATAATTATAAATTTATTATTTTTTGCATAAAGAATAATTAGTTACAAAATATATTAATACAGTATGAATAAAATTATTTTATATTAATATTAACTTGCATAAAATATAAAAAAGAATAATAGTAATAATAATAATAATAAATATTTAATACTATGTATAATTTTGATATATTTTAACTAAATTGTTATAAAATATATAACATTTTCTATTACCTTTTGTTTTTAGAGATTAAATTACCGTTTATAGAATATAAATGATTTTACTGTTGTTAAATTTATAATATTAAAATTTATATGTACAAAATAATTATAAAAGTGTCTGATAAAATTATAATTATTTTTAACAAAATTTAAATACTAAGTAATGAATATACTATATGATAAAGTATGTTCTTAAAAATATAATTATTTTAATGTAAAATAATCGTTATTATCTTAATTATGTTAATTGATATTTTTCATTTTAATATAAAACTAACATTAATTAAAGAACATGAATTTAAAAAAAATTTGTTAGATAAAAGGTCAATAATTTTGAAAGTTACAAATATTTTGTATATTTTTCGTAGAGTGAAATAAGATGAAATCATATTTGTAGAATTTTTAATCGTATTTAAAATTTAACATAATTATAAAAAATAGTTATTCTTATTATTTTATGATGATTAAACAAAATGATTTAAACTTCTTATTGTAAACCCAGGTCATACAATTTATTTGAGTAATAAAAAGGTATTTTTAAATTGTAATTTGTATCCTTCTATCTTATTATTGAATCTGCAATTTTAATTATCTTCCTTAAAATTGATAAACTTATTTTCTTACTTTAGAAAATTTATAATTGTAGTCCAATTTTTTTATTATTTTTTTTATTTCATTTTCAATCAATTAAATCATATTGTGGTACTTTATATATAAGGTTCAATTCAACCATCATAATAATAATAAAAAGTATATAAATTTATAATTAGGTAGAAATTACATATATTTTAAAATAAAAACAAATGATTGTATTCTAAAATAGAGGAACAACATTAGAAAATTGAATAAAACAGGAAGATTAAAATTGTATTCAAAATGTTTTGAAAAAAAAAATTACTGGTGAAGGGGTGAAAAAAAAATTATTATTATTATTAAAGTTTAAATTAAAAGTGAAATAGGATTAATTTGACCATTCAACTTTAATTCAGAACAAGAAAACAAAAAATACTTTCTCAGATATTGTCATCACTGTCTGTTATCATCCACCCTAATCCTAATTCTAACCCTAACCCTAACCCTAACCCTCTCAACTTGATCTGAAATTAACCCTAAGCCCCACCCAGCAGACACATTCCTGTCTTCAAAGTTGCAACTTCTGATCCATTTGGCATTTAATATGTTGTTTGAAAAAAATAAGTTATTAAAGCCATCACCTTTCTTGTCCTCAATTGGCCATTTTACTGTTTCTAAGCTCAGACCATAATCTAACCTGCAGGTTGACTTCTTTAATGCTTTTTTTTTTATTATATTATTTACTCTGTCTTATTGTAAAACATAATAATAAATTATTTTATACAAATTAAAATCGTAATAAATATGTTATATTGTTAAATAATTTTACTAAAATAATCTCATCCTTTTAATAAATATATTATTATTAAGAATAATTAATTAAAAATAAATGTTTTATTAAAAGTTTAAATATAAGTCAGCTTATTTGTTTGTGGGACATTATTACATTATATAAGAAAATAGTAATATAACTCCTTTATTTTATACTGATTGAAGTTTTCTTTGTAGAATTTAAGAAAAATAATTAATAAAATTAATTAGTATTTATCAAGTATTAAATTTCTAAAAATATTTATTAATGTATCATTAAATATTGCAGGACTATTATTTATGAAGAGGAAAAATGGAATTGACATTTAACATTTTGTTGAAAACCGTTAGTAATATAAATATTTTTTTAAAATGACAGTAATATAAAAACACAATTATATACTAATTTTTATATATTGTGAATTTTAATGAAAAAATTTATATTTTTAATTAAAAAAAATAATGATTGATATATCTCTTCTATACTCGATTACAAAAAGAGAAAATTATTTGAGATAATCAAATATTAATTTTTTTTCCGATATCATTTTTTAAATATATTTTATTTAATTAGTTTTTATTAACTTTTTTCTGTATCAAATTTCAAGGGAAGACAAAATTATATTTTAACTATGGTTATTAGAGTTAAACGGTAATACTAAATAACTTTCTTAATTAATACAAGAATGAGTTACTTTTGAAAAAAATTATAGCCAAAAGAGATTGATTTATTTATTTATAAATTATTAGTGAGAAAATATATTCAGTAAAAAGCTGTCATATGATAAAGTTATTTATCTTTTACTAAAAACTACCATAAAAATTAATTCGTTTTATAGTTTTTTATTGGTTGATGGTAATGAAACTCTTTACAGTGATAAAGTTAACAACTTTATTACTGTATATGATATTTTATATTACTTGGTTTGGAGAGTAAGAATATAAAAAAGAATTGCTAGGATTGTAAAATAAATTTGTTTGTGTTATCCTTTTGGGACAAGAGCTATCTTAGGGAAATGGGAGAATTGTTAGGACTGAGAGAGATTGAGAGGGTAGAAAGTGTTGCTGACTTTTGAAGTCTTTCTCAAGTCCCCACCCAGCACAAGGCACGCAGCCAAGGTTGGGAGAGAGTTTAGAGAAGAAGAATGAAAAATGAAAAATGAAATGAAACCTCAAAACAGCTGGATGTAATAATCAAACAAAGTGTGTCAGCATAGCAATACCAATTTCAATAGCATTCCCAATAAACCAACAATACACAACTGCAAAGTCAATAAGGGCAACCTCTGCCTTTTCGCACCCATTGCAGACCTGACTTTCTCAACAAAACCAGACGGTTACCTTACCTTACCACCCCTCCATCTTCTTTTCTATTCTTTCTTATTAATAATCTCTTTTTCATCAACAAGGGGCGTTTTGCTATAAGCTTTTGGTGTTCCTCAGTTATTGCTTTCTCTCTTTTTCTTCATTTCCTATAGAGGATACTACCCTCTTCCCTTGTCGATCTCTCCTCTCTTTTTCTGCCAAAAATTTCAAATTTTTTGACCGGTTGTGAATTTTTTAGCCTGTTCATCATCTGGGTATTGGATTTTTTCCTTTTTGCCCCCTCTTTTTTGGGGAGGGTTGTTAGAATTGCTTGCTTCAGTGATCGGAATGTTTTGCTGATAATTCACAGTTCTTGGAGAGTTTTGGAGTTTCTCTGACGTCAAGTTTTTGTGAAATTTTCGGTTTTCAAGATTTGCAGAAGAGTTTGATGTTGAGTAAGAGAGGGGGAAGGTGACGCGGGGCTGAATTATTTCATGGATTGTTTCTGTTGCTTCAATAAGGTGAGAATTGTGGCCTCTTTATTATTATTCTTCTAAAGTTTTGCCTGTGGAATAATCAATCTTCTTGCATATGGAATTTCTTAACGTTTTAGGAGATTTCCTTGTATTTTAGAGGGGCCTTATGCTGCGTTTGTCTATCTGAGGATTGGGTTTTGCTGGGGCAATGAATGGCTGAGGACTGTCCCAAATTTTATTTTTCTAAGGTTACTTGTCAATGAAAATTGAAACATAAGATTGCTTTTGTGCTTTTTCATCTGTAGCCCTCAGAAAAGTAGCATTCTGCAGTAAGGTAACTTTGTGAGAAAAGGCTCATTTCAAATAGTTGCTTTAACCAAAGCTGTCTATTCAATCTAATTTTGAATTTTAGATGTTGGTAAGTTTTTTTGGGTCTACTTATGAGCAAGGTTTGAAATTCATGGTCACAATCTTGGCACGGTCGAGAAACAAGAGTGCCCGGAACTCGGTTATGACAGCATTGTTAAGACAATTTTTATGTCCTATACGGAGTTTTATTTCGTTAAAATTTTATCTTTAAAAGACACCATGGTAGATTAAGAGGGAAGAAAGTATTAAGTTATTCTTGACCTCAACTATTAAGGAATGTGAGAGTTTTAAGCATACCGAAATAAGCACGATTCTTGATGTTGTGCAGAATTGCAAATGCGGTTGATGCGCCACAATTGTAGTCGTGATGTTGGGGTCACTGATCCCAAAAACCTTGGCCCAGTATAAGAAATTGCAGTCAGACCATTTTTTCAAAACCCTGCTTATGAGCCATGTTTTATTTATAACTCATTTGGTTGTTGGTGATGGCTGATAAATACTTAGTATTCTACGGCATTTTAAGTCTGGCAGTCAACCTGATATAATTAGATTAATGTGTGTTCTCTGTTTATGTCTGGATGTTGTGTGTATTGATAACTTCCTAGTTCCTCGCATAACATATATGCTATGCTCCCTTCGATAATCAATAATGTTCCATTGTCTTTTTAATAATTTTTTTAATATGTCAATCATGTTCCATGCATTGCATTTTATGTTAAACAGTAGATTCTTTTGTTATTGTATTTTAACTTCCATAGTTGTAGGGTGCTGGAGGACGCCCTTCATGTAGCTCTGGTAAGGGCAGGAGTCATCTGTGCCCAGTTAAATATGGTTTTAGCCTAGTTAAAGGGAAAGCAAACCACCCAATGGAGGACTATCATGTAGCAAAATTTGTCAAGTGCAGAGGGCATGAGTTAGGACTCTTTGCTATATATGATGGACACTTGGGAGATAGTGTACCCGCCTATTTACAAAAGCATCTCTTTTGTAATATCTTGAAGGAGGTAAGTTATTGAATCAAATTAAAATGTATCACGTATTGATTTATCACATTTGATTCTTACGAAAAAGTTTCCACCCTTTTTCTCCTAGCTTCCCCTACTTTTTTTTTGCTCTTCCGTTTCATGATCCATATATTGATAATAAGAAATATAATCTGGTTGAAATGTGCATAACCTCTAGTGTCTGAAAATCTTGAAGTTTGGCCTAATTTTCTTTTTCAAACTTTTTCATGCCTCTTGGCATAATTTTATTTTGGCATTACAAATTATACTCTTAAATATGATGGATTATTCCAGGAGGAGTTCTGGACTGATCCTGCCAGTTCTATCGTTAAAGCTTACGAGACAACAGATCAGGCCATTCTTTCTCACAGTTCTGATTTGGGGCGAGGAGGATCGACTGCTGTGACTGCAATTCTTATCAATAATCAGAAGTTATGGGTAGCGAATGTTGGAGATTCACGAGCAGTTCTGTCAAGGAAGGGGGTGGCCATACCGATGACTATTGATCATGAGCCAAATACTGAGAGGGGCTTCATCGAGAACAAAGGCGGTTTTGTCTCAAACATGCCAGGTTCTTTAATAAACCTTAGTTAGTTAATATATTGCTTACTTGTTCAATGCGGGTTTTATTTTGTCATTCTGATAATATGAAGTGTTTGTGAAAAGTATTTATGCATCACAACACAACTCCATATTCGAAGAGGAAGGGACAGACAAAGAGACATACATGTTACTTTGTTTACAAAAACAATTTGCTAACATCAGGTTGAAGGCTCATGCCTCAATAGAGATTTAATTTCCTCTTTTGATCAAAATTTGTGAATGTGTTTTTTGAAATTCATTATTTCTACCTCTTTCTGGTCCTAAAGGCAAGTATATATACAACAATTCATATTCTTGTATTTTATTTTTGAAAGCTTTTGTCAGTGATGATATGCCTTAAATTGAGTGCTGTTGTATATTAATTTGTTTCACATTATTTCCCACTGTAGCCTACAAAAGAAGCGACAATAAATGAGTTTTTTGTAACTTAATGTGTTGGAAAACTACTTTAATTTCTGACATCTCTAGCACACCTTAATTGCATCCTCTTTTTGGGATGCTTTAATTTCAACCTTAAATTATGATTCAAGTGGTGCTTATAAGACTCACAATTTTTACCTTAGAAGTTACTTTTGTGGGATTGAGTTAGACTCTAAACTATAATTCCAAGACAAGGACTGATTTTGATATATATTAGTTAAATATTAAGTGAAGGGTTAAATTACAAACAATGATGATAGTTTAAATTTTTTAGGGAGATCTCATTTTTTAAGCTTGTAATTAAAGATCATAATGATGATAATACAATTTCTAATATTTGTCGACCACTGAGTCTGTCATAACTTTGGGAATGAAATATCTTATCTCTCCTAATTATAAAACTCCAACTTTTACTTAATTGTCTCAGTAACTTTATTTCTGAGAAGTTGTTGACTTTTACTCTTTGACTAGTCTGCAACTGTTCATATCTGTTAGCTACGTGCCTTTATCAGCCATGATAGCACATACAGATGCAGTCTCAAGTGTTAATAACTCACTCATCAGATTGGGACTGTCCTCAGTGCCAGAAAGTGATGATAACTAGATAGATACTGAATTAAGCATGATTTTAAGCCTTGCTTTTTGTTCTCTTCCAGAAAGCTTTTGCTTGTCCTCTGCAAGAACAATCTTCTTGCGCGTGTCCTATGGTAGACCACAATACTGCACCACTTTAATACTTTTAGGTGTTCAGTGTTTAATTCTTTAAATTTGATTGAAATTTCAGAAGCTGTAATCGAGTCCCTCTCAATAGACATGGTGATGAATAATAGAAAATAAGTCATTGAAACATTAGGAAATATATTGCATGTGACCAATCAGTCTGATTTTTGTGGAATCATTTGTTTCTGTGAGAAACGTTTCTGATTATATTGAGAGAAGTCATGGACCAATTACTATCATTCAATTTAGTTCTGAGTCATGATATCTGCTCAATTTCTGGAATAAGACTGAGCTTCACTCATATAGGGTATAGACATTGTTCTTCAATGAGAATCTGATGCCTCACGAATCCTAATCAGTGATCACTGTATGCTAGCACTGTCACCTACACAACCATATGTCTCATTCTATCCCCGTAACTTTTTCAAAATTAGATTACACAAAAAAATGTTGGTTAGTCTTAGAAGTAACAACTTCACAAAAACTAGAACTCTTTTGTTCACTTATGGGTGGTTTATATCAGGAGATGTTGCTAGAGTGAATGGGCAGCTTGCAGTTTCTCGAGCATTTGGAGACAAAAACCTAAAATCACACTTACGATCTGATCCTGATGTTCATCATGTTGATATTGACCCAGATGCTGAGCTTTTGATACTTGCTAGTGATGGTCTTTGGAAGGTTATCCATCACTCTAATAGTTTGTTTTTTATCAGTTGACAGTATAAATGTTTTTACAGCAACATTGTCTAGAAATTGCATTTAAAAATATTATGATCGATTTGATTGCAATGCATTGCAGGTAATGGCAAACCAAGAGGCAGTTGATATTGCAAGAAGAACAAAAGATCCACAAAAGGCAGCAAAACAACTAGTTGCCGAGGCATTGGACAAAGACAGCAAGGATGATATTTCGTGCATTGTAGTTCGTTTCAAGGGATGATGATTGATGAAAAAGGGATCACAACACAACTATTCCCTATATTTTCTTGGTATATATTTCATAAATCTTAGATTTCCATTTGTTTGGATATCTCATGAAATCCATTTTCTACAACATAGGTTTTGCTCATTCCTCTGTAAAATTGAAGTTCTTCAAATTAGTTCGTGCCATTTAGTATTCTCATGATTTGTATTGTGTAGATTAATTATTACCATCATTTTTTCTTGTAATTTTCATTATTACATGGACCAGTGTGAAGATGAACATAGCTTTTAAATTTGAATGAGGGGGTCATGCTTAAATATATAAACTCTGTTCTTACAATTTTCTTTAAAAGATTTGATTTTTAACCGGTTATTGAATCTTCAACTAATAATTTTCATCCTCTACGTATAGTTTTTATCTCTTATTTTAATTAAAAATTCCCAGTTAATATATATATATATATATATATATATATATTTTTTTTTCTTTATAAGCTAAAGAAGAATTAACATAAATAACTTGAAAGTGATGACGTATATATAAAACTCAATATTACTTACATCTTCACTTTCTTTCTCATTTTAAAAGTTGTTTGAGATATTTGCTTAAAGTGAGTTCTCAACCTTATTTTTTCCATTTTTTTATTACAACTTGATATGTCTTTTTATTGGAAAATTCAACAGGGTTGCAGTATTCACAATCTTATCATGAACCAAAGTCTACGATTGAGTTATAATATGATTTTCATCATCAAGATATTCAAATTAAGTTCATTTACTTAGTCCAACATGAGAACATCAAAGCCTCTGACAAATCAAGGTTCAAAGATGCCGTGAATGAACAAACTAAAGTGACACATTTGTTCATTAAAAACTATAAAAAGCCAAAAATTTTAGACAACTTTTAAAATTGTATTGATCGAACTCAATGTAAGTGTTTCTAAAAAGAATTTCTTGGAAGGACCCAGTTCAATGTAAATGTAAGAAAGAGTATTAATTTCGTGAAAGTTTATTAAATATCTTATATAATATGATTTTTTAAAAATTACTTAAATAAAATCTACATTAATTTATTTTTATTTCTAATAAATTGTTTATATGTATTCTTTTTTTTTCTTATTCACTTTTTGTTTTTCTCATTTTTTACATCAGAATTTTTGTTTCTCTCTCTCATCTTCTATATATTCTTCTAATTAAAATTATTATATTAAAATTTAACAAAAATATGTCAAAATAATCTTTTTAAAATCAATATCATTGAAACTAAAAAAATATTAATTAATTATTAAAAATTATGATGATTATAAATAAATTTAGTTATGATGACATAAATAATTAATTAAAAATTATTTTATTATAATAAATCAATTATTCATCTAATTAAAAAAATATTAAATATTTATGAGTTAAATATATTTTATTTAATAATTTAATCTAATTATAATTACGTTGAAATATGATCATAAGTCAGTAAATTAAAAAAATATTTATTAAAAAGTTATTTCAAAATAAATATATTTTTTAATAATTATAAAGTCACAATAATATTTTGAATAGATAGAATTTATTATATAATATTTTTTAAATATAATATATTAACTTATAATATTTTTGAAAAAGTTGAATATTTTTTTAAAATAATAAAAGACTTATTTTATTAAATCTTAATATAGTATTTTTAATTAGAAAAATAGAATAACGTAAGAGAAAAATAAAAAAATATAAAAGAAAACAAATACTAAAAGAGGATAAAGAAAAATAATAATAATAATACAATATAAAAAGAGAAAAAAATTATTATATTAGACTAGTTTATTTTTTTATTATTAAATTTTATATATGGATAATAAATATATATGAAAAAATTTATAAAAATTTATTCAATTGATATTTGAAATGTATTATCAATAAAATTATTCATATTTTAATTTTTTTGAGTTATTTATTCCAAAATATATATATATATATATATATATATATATAACTAATAATATCCTTCCCATGAAAAATAGATGTTTGTTTTTTGAAAAGTTACAAATATTTTCTTTTGAATTTATATTAATTAAATGTTTCCTAATTAATACGAAATAATTTAAAAGAGTATTATTTTTAAACAAAAGGAATTGGATAAGCTTTAAATTATCTCCAATAATTGTAAAGAAAAAGGAAAAGAAGAAATAAGTGAAAAATAAGCGAATGATTAGAGTATGCTAGATTCGCGCGAATCTACGTTTGTCGAAAATTTATTTGGGAGCGGCGCATGATAGCGGCGACATTCCCTCCTTTCCCTTAAACCCTTTCTTTCGGTGTCCTCTGTTTCATCACATCACATTCACGATCATGTCTAAATCGTTGAAGCTCAATGCCTCCAACCCTAAACTCTGGCTCCTCCTCGGAATAGGACTCGCCGGCGCCGTCGTTCTAGCCGAGACCCGGCGGAGACGACGCCGGAAGCTTCCCAAAGAGGACTTCGGTGCATTCGTAGAGCGGTTCGAACTTCTCCCCATTCCTCAGCCCGACCAAACGCAAGCGCTCTCTGCCCTAACCTTCGCCATCAAAGACATGTTCGTTTCGTCCTTCATTTCATTAGTTCTCTCTGCTTCAAATTTGTGTACTAATTTTGAACGAGTTGTAGTGATTGTGTCCTTGCGGCAGATTCGATGTTAAGGGGTATGTGACGGGATTTGGGAACCCTCATTGGAAGAGGACGCACGCTGAGGCTGAGAAGACTGCGATTGTCATCACTGCTCTCCTCTCCAACGGTTCTACTTGTGTCGGCAAGACTGTTATGGATGAATTCTCTTTTGGGTATGTAATAAGTGTAAGTGTGTACCCATTGATTACCATTGAGAGTTTGATTCTGAACTTGTTTGCTTTACTCGATTGTTGGTGGCATTCGTCGTCGGCATTGCAGGATTTTCGGCGAGAACAAGTTTTATGGAACGCCAACCAATCCTTACTTGCCCTCATCTATCCCTGGCGGTTCTTCCAGTGGTTCAGCTGTTGCTGTTGCTGCTCGCCTCGTTGACTTTGCTATTGGTGAGTTTAGTTTACTTGCTTCTCAAGTTATCATTCATTTGAGAATGCTATTCTCTCATATGTGTCCGTGTATGTATTCTCAATTAACTTGCGTATTCAATGTGCTAAACAATCATCAATTTCATTTTGTTCAGGACATTGGGATTGTTCTTGTGTTTAACTGTAGTCCTGGAAAGTTGAAAGTGTACATTTTTGTGTATTATTTGGTATTCTACACTGATGAAATGAGTTTTAATTTGCTGACACTAATTAAAATTTCAGTTCCATGGTTGTGGGGATCTATGCATGCATAATTTCAGGATTCCAGCTCTTTTAGTTTATTATTGTGATCTCATTCATGTTTAGTTGCAGCATGGCTTGCCATGCATAGTCTTTCTCTTTCTTATCCATGTAAAGGTTAATGAAGACATACAAATTGCAATTACTTTGTGCTGATAAATGTCATTTGCTATAGTTTTATCTCTCAAGTATTGTGCCTTTTTAGGTACCGATACAACAGGATGTGTGAGAATTCCAGCAGCATTCTGTGGTATTTTTGGGTTTCGACCATCTCATGGGCTTGTATCCACCATTGGAGTTCTTCCAAATGCACAAAGCTTGGACACTGTTGGTATGATGCTTAATTGTGTGATTTTGCGACTATGATTTTGATTTTGTCATATATTATGAGGTTTTATTTCTTTGAAATATCACATATACCTTTAATCTCATTCAAATCATTGAATTCTGTATCAAATTTCCACGTGACTAGTATTATGTGTGGAAAATTGAGAAATTAGATTCATGGTTTAATAAATTTACAGACGATACCTATATAACAAAATATGAAGGTTGGTACTGGGTAGTACATTCCAGTTTTTATAGTGACACTGTCTTGGTCTGACTTCCTGGTGTAATATATGATTTCCTTAATTAGAAATTACTGCTCAATGTGTTGAATTGGGACTCCACTGTTGTTTCTTATTTTGTACACAAATTTTTTAATATTTTCTTCCTTAATTGTTTATTGCCTCATTGCATTGTAGGATGGTTTGCTCGGGATGCTTCTGTCCTACGTCGTGTTGGACTTGTTTTACTTTCAATGAATTTGGTGGAGCTCAAAAGGACAAGGCGTATTATCTTTGCTAATGATCTTTTTCAATTATCTAAAGTTCCTTCACAGAAGACGGTGTATGTTATTGGCAAAGCAATTGAGAATTTGTCTGGTTGTAAGTTTCCTTACCTTTGAAGACCAATTTATGATTCCTTTATAGATATTAATATAATTTTCATGGTTAATTCACTTTGATTGTTAATAATTAGTGGAAAAACTTTTGTTGTAGTTGTATGGTTGATTTTTAATACAGTGAGTAAAAAAAACTTTGAATGTCTTGACAAGATGAAAAGGAAATTTGTATGTATTATGAACAACGAAGTCTTTTGGTCCAATTGGTTTTGCAGATCAATCTCCGCAACATATGAATATTTGCCAGTATATTGCCTCTAATGTTCCCAGTTTAAAGGGGTTTCACGATAAATTGCCACACCTACAAAATGGAGTATCTATATTGAAAGCTCTCACTTCGGTTATGTTTTCTTTACAAGGGTATCCTAATTTATCCTTTAATATTTCACCATTCAATTTATGTTTATGTTATACTTTATGTTTCCATGTGGTTGATGAATCATTTCCCTCTTTTAATAAATACATTGAATTTTAGATTTTGTTGAGGATCTTATATAACCCTGTATTGCAATTTTGCATCTTCTCTTCAGATATGAATTCAGAACCAATCATGAAGAATGGGTTAAATCAGTCAAACCCAGGTTTGGGCGTGCTGTGTCTGAGCGTGTTATTGCGGCCATGAATACTACACATGATAATGTGAAAACCTTGTATAAAGTAAGAACTGAAATGCGGGTTGCTTTCCAACGTTTGTTAAAGGTACTGTAATATCTAGAGTAATTTTGTCAGTAATGTTCTAGCTTAATATTGTCAAGTTTCAAATGATGTTGAAACTAGCATGGTGAAGTGTGCAATGCATAGAGATAGAGTCGTATTACATATAATTTAAAAATATAAAAAAAAATAAAAACTGTAAAACTAAAAAAGATTTTATTTTCATGATTTATTTTATCATGGAAGTATTTTGTTTATATGTAAAGCTTTTTACTGTTAATAATACTATTCATGTTCAAATATAAATTAAAAAGAAATTAAATAAATGAAATATTTATGAATGAATCACAATATTATATATGATTATGAAGTCATCATTTTCTCTCTTTGCAATTATGGTGGCTACATAAGAAAATAATCATGGTAGGATAAATACTCATGGAAAAATATTAAAATATGAACATTTTGAATGAAATAGTTGTAAAAATGAAAATATTATAAATTAAAAATGATTATAAAAAAGTTAAAGAAATTATAGAATGATAGATTAATATTGAAGTAAATCCATAATATATATGAAAAATATATTTTTAAAATATGTATTTATCGATGTAATTTAAATACTTATATAGTTTCGTATAATGTTTTAATCTAGTATGATGTCGTTGTTTTTCATCACTGTAAGTAAACTTTCCAAATTATAGTCTTTAAATGTATATCTTATAGATATAGATAGACTATTACACCCAAACAAAAAGAAAAATAAAAAGAAAGACTAGTATGTTGTTGTTTACCTCGTTTCCCATTTTGGATTTTTGGGCATTGAAATTGACTTTTCTTAACTTGCTATAACAAGAATAGGGGAAAATGGGGAATTAATTAGCAGTCTAATATAGCATTTTCATATCAATGGTTGGAAAGAGTAGTATGTCTTAAAATTATTACATCGGAAAGATATTTTATTCTTATTATGAAATGACCGATAATATTTTTTAATGTTACTGTATTTGTCCAGGCTATGCCCTTATCTCCTGTTTTGATTGTTCTACAGGATGATGGAATACTAGTTATTCCCACTGTTCCAGATGATCCATTAAAGCTTGATACGGAGAAAGGATTTTCTTCTGAGTTTCATGAGAGAGCTTTTGCACTATCTAGCATTGCTAGTATCTCCGGATGTTGTCAGGTATTTTGATATCATTAAGACTCTGAAGAATGAATGTTTTCCCTCTTCTCAATTTTTATTTATTTTGATGGAACTTCGATCGATTTTCATATTTGCTTATGCATCATTTATAGGTTGCAATTCCATTAGGATATCATGATTGTTGTGCTTCTGTCTCGTTCATCTCAGCACATGGAGCTGATAAATTTCTTCTTAATACGGTTTTGGATATGTATACAACTCTTCAGAAGCAAGTCAGTGTCGCTTATGCTTTGCCTCTGCCGGAGACAAACGGTGGTATGGAAAGTTCTGAGCTTCTAAAGGAGAAGGTTAGTTCTATTTCATTATTTATATTCGTATCCTGATAAAAATACCCATCAGACTTGATTAATAATGAATGTGAGATTGAACGTTGGGTTCTCATAGTATAATTTAAGAACATCTTTTGTGTAAAATTTTGGCTGGCTAATTAAATATAACTGTGTTATAGCTTCTCAAGAAGGGTCAATTGTTTTATATTGGGAAAAGGTGTTGGAATAGTGGTAGGTTTTCAATATGTGGCATGGGTCACTATAAGGCATTTTTTTCAGGGAAATGCAGCCTTTAAAGGAAGGCTGTGGAATAAGGCAGTCGATTACTACAGCAAGGCTATTAACTTGAATGGGACAAATGCAACTTACTTCAGCAACCGCGCAGCTGCTTACCTAGAATTAGGATGGTATGTGGTTTCTTCTGTTTTTACAATCGGTACTTTCACCATTTCTCTGTTTAATTGGTGTATACTGTGAAATTATGCAGCTTTCAGGAAGCTGAAGAGGACTGCAATAAGGCCATATTACATGATAAGAAGGTGAGAAGCTGAGCACGTGTCAGTGACTAAATCATGAAAAACTTGTATTATAAAATCTGCCATGTATAATAATAACAATGATTAGTGAACTCTAATGACTATAAATCATAGATAGGTATTCCTAGTATAATGCTAAGTGTTTATCTTCTATGACCTTAAAATGCTGGATGACTATCATCTTACTTGATGGGTATCCATCTTAGGACCAGCTTAAGAGTGTACCAATTATCATTTATTTTAGCAATTTACATTGAACATATCCCTTTATTTCGTAGTACTTTAGATTATGACATCTGAATCAGAAAAATATCACGGCACATATGGATGTCATTCAGGATTGTTGTGTATTGTTATTTACTGCAGAATGTGAAGGCATACCTGAGGCGTGGAACTGCTAGAGAATTACTACTTCGTTATAAGGAAGCTCTAAAAGGTTCGTGTTAATTTTCAAAAACTGTCTTGCATCCGATTTGGAACGATAGAGGATACTTCTGGACAATGACATATGTCATAGAAGAGTCATTACTATTCTTTTTAGATCTTTTAAACTTTGAGAAACTGGCATACTAGACAAAGTAATACAGTTTGGTGAAAAAGGTTTTGTTTGAGGTAGAGCTCTTAATTGTTAGATATTTGGATGTGTTAGTTAGTTGTACTCAAATCTTGTATTCTTGTAGGATGAGTTATTTATTGTGTCCTGTAATAGCCGTTTTTGCTTTACTTTGACAACCGATTCTTGGCTCATTGTCTGACCATTACCATTGACTATTATCAGACTAACTGGGTCTATTTGATCGTTTTTCTGGACCATCTACCTCTTTTTATTCTTAATGCTGTTCCCTTTCCTTTGTCATTTTCTCATGTTTTATGCAGATTTCCAGCATGCTCTCGTTCTTGAGCCGCAGAACAAGACTGCTAGTCTTGCAGAGAAGAGACTCAGAAAATCGAGGAGTTGACGATACAAGCTGTTCTTTCAACACTGACCTTCTCAGAAAATCGTGTATGATTTTGGCTCCTTTCTTGCACTTTATACGAAGTGAAGAAGGCAAGTCGAAGTCAAGGGGAAGACTAGTCTGTGTTGGTGGGATGCTGCATTTTTTTATCTCGTGCGAAATTTGTTATAAAACTTTTTATTCAGTAACGCATATAAGTTTGGACCCAAGTATTTACTGGCTCACTTCTCCTTCTCTTCCTCCCTCTTTTTTTGTGCTCTTGTTTAAACGCCAAAGCTTTGTCTACATAAGAGTTTGGCCTAACAGCCTCCAGTAAATTTTAAATTTTAAATGTTACTCTAAAATGTTCTGCATTTCTGATTGTGCGGAAAATAACTAGTTTCTGTTTTAGACTCATTTTGAGAGTCAATCTGTATACGAGGTTATCTTGATCCAAATGCTACATCGACCCAAACTGTAAATGTTGACTTGGAGCAAAGTTACTCTTTCATTTCTCTCAAGATGCTTAGGGTCTCGTACTTACTAGAAATCCAAACCATTCCATACTTCTATAATATACAAGAAAGGTCACTGCGACAAGCAAATATTTATTATGAGCGTGTTTGGATAAGTTTACTTGTAAGAAAAAAACATGAGATGAGTTTTTTTCGTAAGTTACATATAATTTATAAAAGCTTTCATATACTTTCTTTAAATTTTTTTTTATTAATTTGTATATCAACTAATTTTAATTTATGAAGAAATTTATATTGTTTTTTCTTATTTCACTTTTTTTGATGTGGTTGTGACAAAGCTTGGTCAAACATGTCTCATATCATAGTCAATTTAATAGAATTTGCTGTGCTGACTTTTTTGTGACTTTCATAGGAATTCATTTATTTTTTACGGGGTCTTTATCTTGTCGAAGAGATTACTGATTTAAATGGTTTCCGTTGTTAATGTTCTCAATTTAAATGAAATTGCCTAATATAGAGAATACTAAAGAAAACTCCAATGGGTTTTTCTTTTCTTCCTTGACCTGAGGGTTAATTATAGAATTTAAAATTGATCATTTTATTAATTGTAAGCAAATATATAACTAACAAATACCATTCCCAGCAATAACAAATGGTTAATTGAAGAGGAATAAGAAAACATTTTGGACGAGTAAGAAAGTGTTCTTTTCCAACTGTCCCAACACTGACAGCATTGTTTTGTTCTGAGGTGGCGAATTCAGTTATAGAAAAATAAAAAAGGGTGCGTGTTGTGTTTTATGTTTTGCTTCGATGGTGAAACCAAAAAAAGTTGAATTGCATGTGTGTCACATGAAACGGCAGTCCGCGTTTGTTGCATCGCAGTTTGAGCTGATGTCGTGTTGGGCTGCCATTACCTCGTATTCTCCGCACTGTTCTTCACTAAATTTCCAAAAACAAACCTCGGATCCTTCCAAAATAACCACACCACAAAAACTCCACAACGTTCTTGTTTGTTACCCACGTCCTTCATCCTCTTCCCCTTCGCAACTTTCATTATCATCCTCTCATTCCATTCATCAAATTCATCAACCAACGGTTTCCATGTTGCCAAAACTTTCCAAATGCTTCAGCTTCACCGCTTCTCGGGACTGGCTCTACCGCCACCTGTTCGCCTCCGCCGGGCTCCGCTCGGTGGCCACGGACCTCGGGGAGGGGACCACCATGCACTGCTGGGTGCCGAAGCTACCCAAGCCATGCAAACCGAGCCTGGTTCTTGTGCATGGTTTTGGCGCGAACGCGATGTGGCAATACGGGGAACACGTGCGGCACTTCACAGGGAACTTCAACGTGTACGTGCCGGACCTGGTGTTCTTCGGGGAGTCGTTCACGTCGCGGAGTGAGAGGAGCGAGTCGTTCCAGGCGAAGTGCTTGGTGAAGATGATGGAGGCTCATGGGGTGCAACGAATGAGCCTGGTGGGGATCAGCTACGGTGGGTTTGTAGGGTACAGTGTGGGTGCTCAGTTCCCTGAGGTGGTGGAGAAGCTTGTGCTGTGCTGTGCTGGGGTGTGCTTGGAGGAGGTTGACATGGCGAATGGCTTGTTTAGGGTTTCCAGTTTGGATGAGGCTTCCAACATCTTGTTGCCACAGACACCTGATAAGCTGAGGGAGTTGATGAAGCTCTCCTTTGTCAGACCCGCCAGGGGCGTCCCTACCTGGTTCCTTCAAGATTTCATTGAGGTATGTATCTCTTCCTTTCCTATCCTATACCCCTTTCATACTTTCATATATATCATTATCTGGAATTAATTTAATTCTCCCACAAGATACCCTTAAAAATGTGAATCCTGCATTAGCATTCAATTCTGGATGGTTGTATAGAATCTCTTAAGATTTGTAGCTTACATTCTTTTCTGTATGTCGAAGTTGACTTGAAAATTGACCTGAGCTTTGAAGTTTGATTGTCTTATGGTAACCCTTATGGTAATTAGTACTGTACTCTCTCTCTATCTTTGAATTTACAAATTTTGCTCGGTTGTCATGTCAAGTGAAGCAAACAGTTTTCATCAATGATCTTGCTGGTATCAAGATCAAATGATTTAGGACATTACACCTCTAATATTAATGATGGTTGTGTTTATTATTTGGACAGGTAATGTGTACAGACTACATTGAAGAAAAGAGAGAATTGCTTGAGTCAATACTAAAAGGCAGGCAACTTTCGGATCTTCCTAAGATCCAACTGGTATTTATTCTTTCTTTATATTATTATGTCTTTAGTTTTCTGAATCTGGTGGGATTTTATTGATTATCATTTTTGTTATACTTTCAGATTTTATAATACAGTGTTCTATGTGTCTGTCTCTATAAACTTTTTTCCTTGATCACAGACGAACCTTGTAGCTTGTTGATGTTGTTTTCATCATCTATTTTTTATTTTACTATTAGAATCCATCCAACACACTACACAAATAAAAGAGCAAGGAGGAGAGGATATCTTCAACAATAAAAATTCCTATCCACCTGTTACATGGGCTATTAAACAAACCTCACTATTTCCCAAATAAATGTCATCTTCTAATGTTGTGATGCATTGATTTGTAGTTATCTCAGAGAGAAAAATTCCAAGCAACTAGATTATTCGCTTTACCTCTTTCAAATACATAATTATCTGAATATTCACAACATTGTTGGTTTACATTGGAGCAGCCCACTTTAATTATATGGGGAGAGCAAGATCAGATATTCCCTCTGGAGTTAGGCCATAGATTAAAAGGGTGAGATTTCAATTCAGTGGAAGTTCATGTTGTTGCTCATGACTTGCATTCAAACATCATCTAGAATGGTAACTGTGGATGTTTCTTTCGAGCAGGCATATAGGGGAAAATTCTCAAATGGTAGTCATCAAGAATGCAGGGCATGCAGTGAACCTAGAAAAGCCAAAAGAGTTTGGCAAGCACTTGAAAGCATTTCTTATAGATAATAATATTACAAAGTCCTGTCCCACCTCACCACTTGGGTCTGAAGAGAATATCCATTTTTAACTTCATATCAATTAGAAGCTAGAACAAAATTCCTTGCCGGAGATTTCAGCTTCCTACAGATCCAATTTTGGATGTATTCTTGGGGACGGAGGGATTATTTTATATTTTATTTTCTTCATTTAATGCAAACAAAGGCTTAGCATGCTAGTTTCTTCCATTTTTGTTTTTCAGAACATATTGTACACTTGGACGATAAATCTCAATACATATATTACTTTATTTTGACCATCAAATGCTGCTGCACAATGACCAGAACTAACACATACATAATAATTTAGTAAACATAACAAAATACCAAGTAGCCACGTGAAACATTTCCACTATAAGCCGGAGACAGAGAGGCATTTTTTTCTTTTTTTCACGAGTAAGGCAGTCGTACTAGCAGAGTGCTTCCCCTGTTTTCAGCAATCAGCATCCTTTCATCAGTCTCTTTCCAACCTGACATTATTATTTACTCCAACAAGACTAACTCTGTTTCGAGCATGTTAATACACTATAAATGTATAGCTTTAAGTTATAAACCATATAGCTTTATGTCATAAACCATATCCATGATGTGTAACTAAATATGCTTTAATCTCACATGTTCCGATATGTGAGATTGACTATGGAGAGATAAGTTGTGGGTTCGAATTTCTCCATTATCAAAAACGAATTTGACGATTAAGGAAAAACAACCTCACATGTTCCTCTTGGTTTCTTTTCTTTTTTCAGTGCACTACCAGTTATGTGTCAAATTACAATTGTCTTTGAATAAATTTCAAACATCTCAGAAGACGACAGTTGTGGCTCCTGCAAACAAAACCCAATAAAATCAACTTGGCATCAAGTACAATATTTTAGGAATATATATAGGAGAAGGGAATGAATGAAGCACATACATGAACATACTGCAGGCGAGTGTTCATGGAAAACTGTCGATCGGTTGGACCAAACGTTCTCTCTTTAGCCCCACGGATTGTAGAGCGCATGGAATTAAGCAAGTTGCCATAAGTCAAATTAGATTGATTTTGCATGGCTTGGATGAAACTGAAAGTCAAAGCACCAGTGCTTTCCACACCGCTAAAGGCCTAATCAACCAAACAAAGCCTTGGAGGTTATCATAAACTCTGTTCTATAAATAGTCCTATTCTAATTTACAAAAACCATGGGAAAAGGGAAAAAATATGCATGCATAACTAACCGATGTATCTGCTGCACTTCCATCATCATCACAAGCTGAAATGCAAACTGCTAACCCTCCTCTGGTGCCTTTGTAAGTTCTGCGATTTCTATGATCTTGCCAGCCATAATGACCTTTTCTGTTTGTAATCAAGAAAAAGAAGTATGATTCAGGACAAGATATAAAGCATTCTTTGGTTAAAAGTTGAGAGAAACATGTGAACTAACCGGTTCATTCTGCACATGAATGGTAAATCAAGAATTGTGCCACTAAAGCAAGTATCAACAAGGGCATGAAGTTTGGCACCATGGGGGAGAGGCCTAACGATTGTGGCGTTGATTTCATCGTCAATTATCTTACCCTCATGCACGTAATCAACGGGGCATATTGCTTCATCATATCCATCAAGCTCATCCATGTCGGTGTCTTCTTCCTGCGATCCATGTCCAGAGTAGTAAAACCACAACGAGTCCCCTGATCTGCAACCCTCAACCAACCACCTCATTGCCATTCGAATGTTATATCTTGTCGGAATTCTCATTGGGTTTCTCTCCCCCGGGTGATCTGCACCTCGTATCTCACTCTTATAACATCAATGTTTTTCTTAACTCAAAAAAAGAAAAAACATGCATGTGTATAGAACATTGAAGCATCACTACTCAATATGGCATGATAGTTAAAAGAGGTAGCAGTAGTACCTGTGAGGATCCACATGGAATCAGTAGGGAAAGCCTTGCTAATGAGAAAGTTCTTCACGCACTGAGCGTCATTCAGAGAACCTTTGATACTGTTAGTCTGATGGCCATAGCTGATGCCAATTATCACAGCCCTCTTGTTGCCAAAGGAAGAAGGAGGGGTCAATGGAGGTGGTGGTGGTGGAGTCATGAGTTGCAAAGGCTGAGGATAAGAGCATTGGTTATATGTCCTACATCCATAGGCAGCAGGAGGAGGAGGAGGAGGAGGGTAATTAGATGCATTATAACCATTATGGTTGGCAAAATAGTAGTTTTGTGGAACCGTAGTTGGACCTTGGCCTTGGCATGAATAACAGACAAAGGGCATGCTATAGGCAGCTTCCATTGGCACTACCATTGGCCTTGGACAGTGCATGCATCTTACTGTTCGACTCGCCATCTCTTTTGTTAGATTGGACCTTCGAACCCAGGGTTTTGTTTTTCAACCAACATACAGTTTATAATAACTCAGGAATTGAATGCTTGGTTTGATTTTGATGTGAGATGGTGTGCATGTTTTGGGACGTGACAATGAATGTGGTGCACAGAATCACATTCTATTTGTCTTTTCTAATATGGGACGGCGAATATATTTATCAATAACCCACTTTCTATCCGTGGATAGAATGCTTTTAGTTATTTCGATAGAGAATAAAAATCCATCTCTTTCTCTCACTGCGTCATTCTGGAGCTCCATGGCAGTCGAAAAAAGGAAAGCATAATCCCTGTGCCAAGAGATGTAGTAATAGTGGTGATGATCCAATGGATGCTCTCCATGTTGTTCATTGGAATCCGAACCTTTCAAGTGAAAAACTGATGCAAAACTTGAATCAGTTCCAAGTGTTCACATTTGTTCTCCTACATCTTTCTCCTGAAATTAATTGAAGCTAAAAAACAATACTTTGAATCAAATGTTATTTGTATTATGCCCCCTAAATTCCATGAACACATCCTTAGCAAATTCTTTCACCTCTGAGATTCTTCAGCTCCAAGTAGAAGCACAGAATACAGTCTTTGAGATCTCCATTTCAGATGATAAAGGATTTTCATCAGCTACTTTAGTTCCCACTTTTGGCTCCTTTCCAAAACCTAAAAGCACTTACTTTTGGTATTAACCCTAATAATATTTTTTCTAGAGTTAAACGAGTTTAAATTATGATCAATTCTTTTGTACAATTATATTTTGTTTGTTTACCAGTTTCTTTCAATATATAATCTGTGTAAAGGCTTGATTTTTCTATTAGGACCTCTCATCTGAAACACAATTTTTTCTAGCTAGAAAATTATTTAAAAACCCATGTTATACAACAATTACATAAATAAAAAATATATTTTATATTATTATCTAATTATATTAAAAGTTATATTTACCAATATTTTTTATCCGTTACCAATATATTTTTTTCCGCTAATAGTATATATAAATTAAACTCTACTCATCCACCACATCACATGCAAAAAAAAATAAAAATAAATATAAAATATGTTAAATTATACATTGACTTATAAATTTAATAGAGATTGTATTATTCTAAACATTTTTAATAACACGTACTTGTAATAAAAACAATTTAATTAAGATAAGTTAGTAATTATAAAGTTATTTGAAAGCATGTAAATATTAATTATTTCAAAATGAATACGTTATATTAGATTAAACATAAAAATTCATAAGTTAATATTTAAACTCCTTAGAAATCAAGTTTAGAGAAAAACTATCAAGATAAAGTTTGCTTAGATTTTTATTTTAATTGTTAAATTATAAAAAACTGAATAATAAAGAAAATAAATCTCACTACATTATCAAGAACTAGATTCTCCTGACTGTTTTGAATTGCCCAAAACAGCATCCACTTTTCATATTCTTTTTATAAATAATCTACAGATATATCCCGTAGCATATACAAAAATTATAATTCAAGTGGTATTTAAATGAACAATTAATCAACACAATAAAAAAAAATTGAAGGTTTAATATTTAATAGTTTAAAACTACTGAAAACTAAACCATTTACTGAATTTATTTTTCTGAAAAAAATAATAATAACATAAGATACTATTTCAAAACCACAAAAATTGTTTGTGGGTTTTTATTTATTTTATTTTATTTTCACAACACCAATTTCAACATATATTTATTTTGTTCACATGAGATTCCATTACCATGCATATTTAGTGTTGGGATTTATTTATTTATTTTTACTCTGTTTATAAAATATCATTGTAAAGATGGTATATTATTTTAGGATTTTGTATAATTGTAAAATATTTTAATTGTCTAATAACCTAATTAAGTAAATATATTTTGTGTCTTATAAATAAGTTATATATATATATATATATATATATATATATATATTATTTTATAATAGAGAATAAATATATTTCAGTTTATATTTTTCAACTTGGTATCTAAATGATGATGAACATTTAGATCTTGAATCCTTTGAAACCTCCAAATTGATGGAAGTTCATTTGATATATTTGGAGTGAAATCTGTTTATTCTTGTTTAAACTCAATAAGTTTCCAATATTCTTTCTAAAGCATGTTAGAATAGTAGGAAGAAGATATAAATATGTGAGTTGGAAAAAGAGGTATTTAATGTCAAACAAAATAAAATGGTATTTACAGTAAAAACAACTAGCAATAATCTTGTTAAAACTGTTAATAATTTTAATAATATATGAACTATTGATACTTGAGTAACAAATTATATGATATTTGATCTTATTAAGATGACCAAAATTAAATCATTTACACAAAAATATGTTTTTACAACAAATGAAAATAAAACCCAAATTATTAGGGAAAACTATTTAAATCTTAGTAGTATTTTAAATCTTGATTTTATCTTGATTATTCTTTCTTTAAATTTTAATTTTTTACCTATTTCTCAAGTAACAAGCTGATTTATCTTGTATGATAATTCTTTATACTAACACTTGTGTTCTTAAATATATCAAAATAAAATAATCAATTGATTATGATATTACTAGAGAAAACTTATATATTACCTAGATCTTAAAAAAAAAATTAATAAGTCACAACAATCATTAACAGCTAACAACTCTAAAGGAGAAAATAAAAAATAAGAAATTTAATTATGGCATCAAAGTCTTGATCATGCCTTTGGGTATTTAAAAAAATATATTTTCTACTTTATTTAAAAAAAATGATATTTATAGTTTTCATTGTGATGTTTATGAATTTGTTAAGAGTCATATAACCTTATTTTCATTAATTTTAAATAAAATTCTTCAACATTTTATGGTGATATATTCGGTTGTGTGACGTCCATCTAAAACCCAAACTTTAAGTGAATTTCACTGATTTGTCACTTTAATTGATGATTGTACGAAAATGACTTAGTTATACTTAATGAAATAAAAAAAATAAGGTAAGTTTATTGTTTAAAAATTTTCATAAATGATATAAACTTAATATAATGCTAAAATGTAGGTTTTGCATAATGATAATGACGAGAGAATATAAAATTTTTGAACTGTAACAATATTTAGAAGTTAATGAAATTATTAATCAAACTATTTGTCTTAATACATCTCAACAAATGAGGTTGCTGAAAAAAAAATCGACATTTGTTAGAAGTTGTTCGCGTTTGGTTAATTGAGACACACATGTCATTGTGTTATTGAGGAAAAACTCTTACTTTAGCAGTATATTTGATAAATCAGACTCCTTTAAATTATATTGAGTTTAAGACACCTTTTGAAACTTTACATAATTTAAATATTACTCCAATAGTTTATAATTTACCCTTATATGTTTGGATGTAGAGCATTTCTCCATCTTCATAAGCATCAACGCAATAACTTAGCCCCATAGGTCATTCAATGTGTTTTTATTGGATATGTCATACATAAAAAAAGTTATAAGTGTTATCATCCTCCTACTCATCCTATGTATATACAACAAAAGTGATTTCTCTGGAAGATACAATATACTTTACTTTTGGGTATGATTTTTAGGGAGGGAACCAACAAGAAACCAAGAAATTCAGATTTTAGAGTATATGGATTTAAGTGATATAACTTCATATCATTATCCTTCAAGATATGAAGAAGGATCTGACATTGAAGCATCACAATAATCTCTTACTAGAGATAACATTGAAGCATCACAAAAAATTTCGAATAAAGATAATATTTAAGCACCACAAGAACCCCTTAATCGAAATAACATTGAAGAGCAATGTGAATCTTTACATAGAGATGAAATGAAGTACCACATCAAACTCTTGATGAGATGTTACCTATCATTTGTTGGTCAGGAAACAATTGTTAAATCGTCTTACTAGAGATATTCCTATACTTATTTATGAACTTAAACTCCTATGAGTAATTATGTATTTAGTCATAGATTCTCAAAATCAAATAAAATATTTATGAATCAGTTATCTACTGTAGCTATTTCTAACAATATACAAGAAGCATTATGGAAGACCACTATGAATGAGGAGATGAACTCATTTCAAAAGAATAAAACTTAGACCCTTATTGATTGTCTACAAAAAAAAAAAAAACCAGTATGATGTTGATGGATTTACTTTGTCAAAAACAAAGCAAATAGTATAGTAGAATGATTTAAAATAAGATTGGTGACAAAAAGATGTACTCAAATATATAGGATTGATTACACATAAATATTTGTTTTTGTAGCAAAAATTAATATTGTTTGAGTATTATTATCTTTAGCACCAAATCTAGATTGGTCATTAAAGCAGTTTGATATAAAGAATGCATTTTTACACGAGGAATTAAATGAAGAAGTATACATGAAACTCCCACCAAGATGCATGATACTTGAAAAATACAAATGAATGCAAATTTGAAAAATCTTTGTATGGGATGAAACAATCCCCACAAGCATGGTTTGAAAGTTTTACAAAATTTATGATAATATTTAGACATTATCAAAGTAATTCAAATCATACATTATTCTTGAAGAAACAAGAATGTAAGATAATTGCACTTATTGTATATATAAGTGATATGATTGTTAGTGTAAATGTTCAAAAGAAAAATAAAACGTTACAAGGCTATTTATCAAAAGAGTTTCAAATGAAAGAAAATATGTCTTGGACTTATTACAAGAAACAAGTGGAAGAAGGTTTGGAATTATTTATTACATTAGATAAAGTCTCAGTTCATAAATTAAAATACATTGCAAGGAGATTAACTTACTTAACACACACAATATCGTATCTCATCTACACATTAAATATTATTAGTCAATTTACCTATAATTATGGAGAGCAACAAATGAATGCAATTATGCATATTTTAAGATATATAAAGTCAACATCTGGAAAATGATTATTGTTTACC